TCGGTGGAAATGATGGGAATTTGGAACTTGAGGAACATAGTAGGGGTGATAGATCCATAAGCATGTAATTTTGAACAAAATGTCTTAAGCCTGTGTTTGAAATATACATTGGTTGCTATTGGGAGCCAATAGCAACTAGCAATTTGGAACAACTTGAACCAAATCACGGAGGTATCACAGACATGGTCATGAATGGTTGGAGATGAGAGGGAGAGCAGAGCAGGAGAGAGTCTTATGAGAAACCAGAGAGCCTTTGAAGGATCTTAAGCAGGAAGCGAGGTGATGAGATTTACATTTTAGGAAGAGCCCTCAGGATGTTCTGTGAAAAAGCCTTGAAGAGGCCAAGGTTAGTAGGGGGAAGGACTATTAGGAGGCCATTGTATTAGCCCAAATGAGAGAAGATAAGGGCCTGAATTAGGGCAACCACAGTTAGGATAGAAGGAAAGATTAGCTTTGGGAAGTATTAAGGAGGAAAAGGTGGCATGCCTTGGCAATTGGAGAGAGGAGTGAAAGGAAGGGGGACTCTAGGATGACTGCAGGATTTCGGCTTCGGGGACTGGGTGGTGCCATTCACCACAATGGGGAACCAGAAGCAAGGAGCAGATTGTGGGGAGGAAAGAAGATGATAGTTGAGTTTTGGACATTTGGATTTTGAGATATGAGTGGGCATATAAACTTGAAGGAGAGATACATATTTGGATTCATTAACATGTGAGTAGTATGGATAGGAAACAAGAATAGATGAGATTGCCCGAGCAGAGGGGGTAGAGTTAACAGTAAGCTGAGAATAGAATCCTGAGCCAACACCAACATTTCAGGGGTGGACAAAGGAAGAGGAAGACAAAGAAGGAGGAGATGGAGAACAAGAAAAAAATATCTTCGTGAAAGCCAGGGGGAGGGGGTTTAAGGAAGAAGGGAATGGTTTGTAGAGCCAAATACAGCAGCAGTGTCCAGGCAGGTGGAAATGGCTACCGAACTGGGCAGCCCAGGCATTGTTGCAGGAGCAGTTTTAGTGGGATGTAGGGGGCAGACACCAGATTACAGTGAGTTAAAGAGTAAATGGGAAGGGAGAATTTGGAAATATCAGGTGCAGTCCACTCTCTGGAAGCTTGGCTGAGAACGGAAGGATGAACAGAGAGGACAAAAAAGTTAAGGGGAGCCGGGTGCAGTGGCTCACTCCTGTAATCCCAGCACTTTGGGAGGCTGAGGCAGGTGGATCACCTGAGGTTGGGAGTTCGCGACTAGCCTGACCAACATGGAGAAACCCTGTCTCTACTAAAAATACAAAATTAGCTGGACGTGGTGGCGCATGCCTGTAATCCCAGCTACTCAGGAGGCTGAGGTAGGAGAATCACTTGAACTTGAGAGGCAGAGGTTGCAGTGAGCCCAGATCATGCCGTTGTACTCCAGCCTGGGCAGCAAGAGCAAAACTCCATCTTAAAAAAAAAAAAAAAAAAAGGTTAAGGGTGAGGTGTTTTAGGGTGTGGGATTTTTCCTTTCTTGTTAAGATTAGATGAGGCATGTTTATGTGCTGAAGAGAAAAACCACGTTAAGGAGAAGAGATTGAAGATACAGGAGAGGGAGGGGAAATCCATGGAGCATTATCCTAGAGATGAAATGGATGGGGCAAGAGCAGAAGAGGGTTGTGCCTCAGCAGGAGGCAGGAATCTGCTTCCCCTGGGCCAAAAGGAAGAAAGTGAAGCTGAGTGCAAGTGTGCATAAGTGAGCGTTGGAAGAGAGGCTGGAAGTTGAAAAAGATTATTTCCAATGGCCTGAATTTTCCTCCTCACAATAGTGCCTGCTAAGGCAAATCTTAATACTCTGCTTGTCCTAGCTCAGCACTGAAAATACACAATCATTCTCTGGATTAACATGCCTAAGCCCAATCCAACTTTGAGCATTTATCTGGTGTCTTCTATCTGTAAGGCACTAGGCCCTCCTTTTCCTGGGACCAGTCTCCCAGCTCCAGGCAGCTAGGTTCTGGATATCTCCATCTGCTTATGCTACTCCTTTGAATTTCAAATAGCAAGACTCCCTTATACCCACTGTGGATAAAAAGTGATCTGTAAGGAGCTGTGGAAAGGCAGAGAAATTAAGTTGACAGTGAACTGCTTTAGATACCCTGAGGCTGGGCTTGGGCTGGTCTCTCCTTGGTGAACTAATTCCTAAGTGCAATAGTTGTCAGATTCACTGAGCCAGAACCCTTCAGACCAGGGTCCTGTGCCTATACCTGACAGATGTACCAGGGTCCTGGGAGGGCACCCCAGGGAAAGGGATAACTTTGTCCTAACTTATTTTGAATCTAAGCAACTTGCCACTCAAGAATCTATCTGAGTCTTTTTCCTATTGATGTTTTCAACATTCTAATCATGAGGAGTAATTTCATGTTTGTTACCTGTTGGGTGAAGCAGTACAAGAGAATGAACATTTTTTTATAATTTTTATGGAACTGTCAACCTTTTGGCTGCTGATGCTAAGAGTCAGAAGTGAGTACTTCACACTGGTCTCCCCCAACCTAATCACAAACACACATTCATAGATTCACAGTTCTCAGGTTGGGCTACACATTAGAATCTCCTGGGGAGTTTTTTAAAAATACCATTACCCTACTGCAGATCAATTAAATCAGAATCTCTTGAGAGTGTTCAGGCTTGAGTACTTTTTTTTTTGAGACGGAGTCTCACTCTGTCACCCAAGCTGGAGTGCAGTGGCCGGATCTCAGCTCACTGCAAGCTCCACCTCCCGGGTTCACGCCATTCTCCTGCCTCAGCCTCCCGAGTAGCTGGGACTACAGGCGTCCACCACCTCGCCCGGCTAGTTTTTTGTATTTTTTTAGTAGAGATGGGGTTTCACCATGTTAGCCAGGATGGTCTCGATCTCCTGACCTTGTGATCCGCCCGTCTCGGCCTCCCAAAGTGCTGGGATTACAGGCTTGAGCCACCGCGCCCGGCCCGAGTACTTTTTTTTTCTTTTAGACAAAGTTTTGCTCTTGTTGCCCAAGCTGGAATGCAATGATGCAATCTCAGCTCACTGCAACCTCTGCCTCCTGGGTTCAAGTGATTCTCCTGCCTCAGCCTCCTGAGTAGCTGGGATTACAGATGGATGCCACCACGCCTGGCTAATTTTTTGTATTTGCATGTTAGCCAGGCTGGTCTCGAACTCCTGACCTCAGGTGATCCGTCTGCCTCAGCCTCCCAAAGTGCTGGGATTATAGGCGTGAGCCACCGCACCCGGCCGGCCTTCAGTACTTTTTAAAAGTTCCCCCAGTGTTGCTAATGTTGCAGCTGGGGTTGAGAACCACTGGGCCAGACTGACCTTGTCATTACCACCATTTGTTGAGTGCTTCTCAACTCTGTTCACATCATGGCTTCTAGAGAAAAGGATACCAGCACTGAAGTAAGTGGAAGCACTGGCCTGGAGATCCTGTGTGGCCTTCTGAGGGCTGCGGGGGGGCGGGGGGCAGGCGGGGAAATCAATATTTTGGCACACCTGTATGAGATCAGGTAGCCGGGTCTCACCTGTTGGCAAGCTTTGTTTTCTTTTATATATTGCTGTATTTGGGGAGGATCCTAGTGCAAGCTGAGTAACTACAAGGTCCGTTTAACAGGGTTCTCTTGTACTTTTCATTTATAGTTTTATTGAGGTGTAATTGACATATAATAAAATATGCATATTGAAAGTGTATAGTTTAATAAGTTTTGACATGTGAGTATACCAATGATGCCATGACCACAATCAAGATAATAAACACCTCCAAAGGTTCTCTTGTGTCCCTTTGTAATCCACCCCTTTTTCCACTCTGTCCCCCAGATACCGCTGATCTGCTGTCATTATAGATCAGTTTGCATTTTCCAGAATTTTATATAAATGGATCTTACATACTCATACTGTTTTTTCTGGCATCTTTTACTCAGCAAAGCTATTTTAAGATTATCCATGTTATTGCCTTTGTCAATAATTCATTCCTTTTTATTGCCAAGTAGTATTCAATTGTATAGACATCACATTTTAAAATATCCATTCACTGTTGATGGACATTTTGGGATATTACAAATAAAGCTGCTGTGGATATTCATGAGCAAGTCTTTGTATGGACATATGCTTTTATTTTTTTTTTTTTTTTTTTTGACATTTTTGTATGGATCACCCCCCCCCCCCCCCCCCCCCCCCCCCCCCCCCCCCTGGCTTTGTATTTTGTCATTGAGTCAATCTATTTGTATGGACATATGCTTTTATTTTTCTTGGATAAGTAGGAGTGATAGTTGAATCCTATGTTAGGTGTGTGTTTACCTTTTTAAGAAGCTGTCTGTTTCCCAGAGTGGTTGTACCATTTTACAGTCCCCACCAGTAGTGTGTGAAAGCTGTCCTCTTCAAATTGACTGGAGAAGGTTTGCTTCCATCTCTTCTTCTTGGGTAATAGAAGGTGCCTCTTGGCTGGGTGTGGTGGCTCACGCCTGTAATCCCAGCACTTTGGGAGGCCGAGGCGAGTGGATCACCTGAGGTCAGGAGTTCGAAACAAGCCTGGCCAACATGACAAACACCCGTCTGTACTAAAAATACAAAAATTAGCTAGACACGGTGGTGGGTGCCTGTAATCCTAGCTACTGGGGAGGCTGAGGCAGGAGAATCACTTGAACCTGGGAGGCGGAGGTTGCAGTGATCTGAGGTCGCACCATTGCACTCCAGCCTGGGTGACAGAGTGAGACTCCGTCTCAAAAAAAAAAAAAAAAAAAGAGATGCCTTTCTCTTTTTGGGGCACAAATGACAGAGGTGAGTATAGGGATTAGGGCGCAGAGATGAGGCATGTAGAGATGAATGGATGGGTAGTTGGATATAATAAATAGGTAAAGTTGTCTTGGTATCCCTTTTTTCCTCTGTCTTTCTATGCTTTCCATTAGTTGTACACACCAAAGAAACAGGCACTGGCCCAGATTATGTCACCTAAATTGGATTATTAGTAAATCTCTCTTTGTGACTGATTGATATTTTTACCCCTGCAGATGCCCAGACAGCATGTCACAACCCTCCAGAACTGACGTTGGCAGGAAGTAGAGACTTCTTTGTCACCTGTGTCCCCGATCCTCGCCATGTCTTCGACTCAGGGCAATGGGGAACACTGGAAATCCCTGGAGTCGGTGGGCATCAGCCGCAAAGAGCTGGCGATGGCAGAAGCCCTGCAGATGGAGTATGATGCCCTGTCCCGGCTCCGGCATGACAAGGAGGAGAACAGAGCCAAGCAGAACGCAGACCCCTCTCTCATCAGCTGGGATGAGCCTGGGGTAGACTTCTACAGCAAGCCAGCAGGAAGGCGGACCGACCTCAAGCTGTTACGCGGTCTCTCTGGCTCTGATCCTGCCCTCAACTACAACTCACTCTCCCCACAGGAAGGGCTGCCCAACCACTCTACCTCCCAAGGGCCCCAGCCTGGCCCAGATCCCTGGCCCAAAGGCTCCCTGTCTGGAGACTACCTTTACATTTTTGATGGTTCAGATGGGGGAGTTTCTTCATCCCCGGGACCAGGGGACATAGAGGGCTCTTGCAAGAAACTATCCCCACCTCCTCTGCCTCCCCGAGCTTCTATCTGGGATACCCCTCCCCTGCCTCCCAGAAAGGGGTCCCCCTCATCCTCCAAGATCTCCCAGCCCAATGACATCAACACTTTCTCATTGGTCGAACAGTTGCCGGGCAAACTGCTAGAGCATCGGATCCTAGAAGAGGAAGAGGTGCCGGGAGGTGGGGGTCAGGGGCGCCTACTGGGGTCTGTGGACTATGATGGTATCAATGATGCAATTACTAGGCTCAACTTGAAATCGACCTATGATGCGGAGATGCTGCGGGATGCCACCAGGGGCTGGAAGGAGGGCCGAGGGCCCCTGGACTTCAGCAAAGACACCTCTGGAAAACCCGTGGCCAGGAGCAAGACTATGCCCCCTCAGGTGCCCCCCCGCACCTACGCCTCCCGCTACGGCAACCGAAAGAATACGACGCCTGGCAAGAACCGCCGGATTTCTGCAGCCCCGGTGAGCACCTTCTTGTGTTTCTTCTGCCTTCCTTTCTCCATGTCCTTCAGAAACAGGGACTAGTCTCTCTGCTGTTCTACATCCAATTCTGCCAAGTCCTTACCCCTTTAGGCCTCTCCTACCCTCTTTTTCTGCCACTGGGACCCTGGCTCTGGTAGGGGAGGTCCAAGGGAGGCTTGATTTGGGGTGGATACCAGTAGAGGGAGGGCTCCTTCTCAGGGCCAGGTTTCATGTATCTTGGCCAAAATGGTCCTTCTGGGGCAGGCATTTGGAAATCCTGGTTCCTAGCGTGTGCCTGCTTCCTGATGTAAGGACTGAATTGGGAGTTAGGGGATTCATTATTGACTGGCTGAATGGCCCTCTGGACCGGAGCAAGTTGCTTCCGCTTGCTCTGAGACCCTGCTCTGCCAAAAACGCTGCGTGGCGATGAAGATCATTCACAATAGTAACCACTTGTTTAGTGCCCACTGAATGCCAGACCCTGGTCCAGATCTCCACAACAACCCTTCCTGATAGTCCAAAGCCACACAGCAAGCAATAGCAGGGCCAGCATTCAGCCTGGCCTCTCTCATTCCTAAGCCCTCTCTCTCCTCTCCTTCTCCCTTTCTCTCTCTCTCTCCTCTCTCTCTCTGCTCTTTTCTTTATTGTGATAAAATATATATAACGTAAAATTCGCCACCGTAACCATGTGTAAGTGTGCAGTCAGTGGCACTGATGACATTCACATTGTTGTGCAACCCTTGCGTTATTCATCTCTACCCATTCTGTTCTCACAATGAAAATATTTAGAAAAAATATGCAGCATGACAAATAATTTTATTTTTATCAGTACATAGTGTAAAATAGCGAACTATCTAGGTCAAAGCCCCCAGGCAGGTACCAGGGCAGCTCTGATCTTTTTTCTGGTTTAGGGGAGCTTCAGCAGCATCTCCTGGGTGGGACCAGAAGGCCTCTTTGTGTTTCATCCTTGGTCGCTGGAAACCCTGGCTGCAAGGAGTCAAGAGACAAGTGACACCCCCATGGCTGATACCTTTTTTTTGAGATGGAGTCTCGCTCTGTCGCCCAGGCTGGAGTGCAGTGGCATGATCTCGGCTCACTGCAGTCTCCGCTTCCCGGGTTCAAAAGATTCTCCTGCCTCAGCCTCCCAAGTAGCTGGGATTACAGGCACCTGCCACCACGCCTAGCTAATTTTTGTATTTTTAGTAGAGATGGGGTTTCACCACATTGGCCAGGCTGGTGTCGAACTCCTGACCTCAGGTGATCTGTCCACTTTGGCCTCCCAAAGTGCTGGGATTACAGGTGTGAGCCAATGCCCCTGGCTGCTGATGCCTTCTGTGACAGCTTAGCATTCTGCTTCATTCCGTCCCGGTTTCCTCCTTAGCCATTGTTTAAGGGGCACTGGGGTTTTCCCACCTTGTGTCTAGCCTTTGGGAACCTTCCCAACTCTGAAGAGCTACACAGTTCTTCCTTCCTCTGCTTCTGCTAAGAGAGGCCCCCAAAAGCAGAATCAGCTCCTGGGATAAGCCACATCCCATCCCTAGAGCTCAAGGATTTTTAAAGGCCTTGCTCTGAGAGGTGGGGCTGTTCCCGCTATTTATAGGGACTGGGAGATTCCTGTTCCTAGCTCTGAGTTCCTCACACCGGGCTGGGCCTGCTCACTGAGTCAGGGCACCCTGGTAGGTGGTCACCTCTGTCACTCCTTCTCTCTCCTGCCTCCCCCACTCCCTCACCCTTCCCCTTCCCCATCCCCTGCATGTCATCAGAGTTCTGAGACAGAGCTCAGCCCAGAATCTCCTTGAAGAAGCGGGCACAAAGCAAAAAGCTCTTGCCAGTTCTGAGTGGGGAAATGCGGCCTTGGTCCTCCCCGGCTCGGCTTGTTGCAGGGGCTCAGCCTGCTGGGAGGGGGGACCCCTTGGGCCCTCGGCCTATACCACCGCCCCGCTTTCGTCGGGCTTCCAGCCGGAGGGAACCTCCTTATCCCAGGCCAGCGGAGCCAGCTCTGGAAATGGCTGGCTCCGAATGCCAGCCTGATACCCCCGCTGCCAGCCTCTGCCCGGCAGACTCCCCCAGCCAGCATCGGGCGATGCCACCAGGGCCTGCCAGCCGGGCAAACGTAAGTGGCTTTTGTTTTCTTATGGTGCCAGTGAGTGGTACAGAAAGGGCATGACAGTGGCCTTCAGTGACCACTCTGTTCTCTCCCTCTCTCCCTGTCTTGCCTTCTCTTCCCTCCCCCCACTGTCTCTCTCTCTTTTTTTCTTCCTCTCTCTCTCCTTCTCTCTCTTGTGGGTTAATTGCTGACAGTGGTACTATTGTTTTGACTGGGACACAGGCACGCACTTGGCAGAGCCAGGGCCTCACATGCCAACTGTTCCCACTGCTGCCCTCCCCCCTGTGCACCCCCGCCCCCCGCCGCCCATGCACACCCAGGGGAGCAAGGCTAACAAGAGAGGGTCAACCAGAGGAAACAGTCTGGATATTCAAACGAGGAGCTCAGTTGCTGTCATCTGCCCCAAGAGGCAGGGAAGACTTGAGAGTAGCCGGTGGGTTGGATGAAAGATGTGAGGCGTTGCGATGTGCACAGGCCAGAGCTAGACTCCCCCCAGAAACAGCTGTTGGAAGCACATGCCGGCCGAATCTCCATCTGAGCTGAAGCCTCGTTCCCCGGTATGGCCTCCCAGGCTGCCCTGAGCAGACTTCTCAGGCAGAAACCCGTCATGCACCAGCTCTCCCTCCCCCTCACTTCCTTCTCCCTAGGGCTGGGTTACAGGCCTTGCTAGGGGCTTCTTGAGGAAGCCTCCTGGGTGACTAAAAGCAGCTCTGGGATGGGAGACCGTTTGGGACCTTGTCTGAGAATCCCACCACCACACACATATTTTGAGAGAGGAAGTGGGGCCAAGGCAGGATCCCTGACATTTCAGTTGTTCAGAGCCGGCTGACTCGGAAGCCAGAGGAGCCAAGCTTCTACCAGGTCCTCCCCTGCCCAGACCACTGCTTTGACGCTTTCTTCCTCAAATGGCATTTACCCAGAAGGCACATGTGTCTGAGTCATCTCTTCTATCTAAGGGTTCTGGGTCTCTCTCTGCTTTGGGTCCCTGGGACTCGTGGATATTGAGGCTTTTGACCAGGGCCAAGCTTCCCTGGGTACCATTTGGGCAGCCCACGTGCTCTAGCCTCAGTGGAGGGGCTGGGAAAAACAGCTGACTGCTCTTCTTCCCCATCACGCCTCTGGGAGAATCCCCCAGAAAGCCCTTGTTGCAGGAGCGGCCCAACAGCACTGGATTGCCTTACCGGCTGCCTCACGCTTATCAGACTGTCCCCTCCTAAAGCAGCTTTGGCCACACTCTCGTCCTTGTCACCCAGGCTTCAGTACTCAGCCAGAGCTTCACCTCCTTCTTCAACTTGGCTCCTGGTCTCCTAGGACAGCTGATACATGTATTCCCGGATGTCCCATATGTTCTTGTACCCCTTTCATTGAATGTTGAGTGACTAGAAAATCTTTTCATCTAGAGTTTGAGTTTAGGTCTGGGTGTACCTCATAGGGAGGGGACACCATGAGAGAAAAGGCACTGAGTTGTCTCCTCTTCTCTTAAAGGTGGGCTCCCGGCCCCACACCGTTGCCAATGGCCATGAGTTGTTTGAGGTCTCAGAAGAGAGAGATGAGGAGGTTGCTGCATTTTGCCACATGCTGGATATGTAAGAGCTAAAGAATGGGGCAGGGGATTTGGGAGGGCTATGGGGGATGGGGAGGAGGGCCATCCATTTCAGAACTTCCTTTAGGAGGGAAGAAGCACCATAATTAAATAAATATCAATTCATAGCTATGAAATGCTTCCTACAACAAGTATCTGCAGGGTTTTTTAAATCTTATAAGTTTCACATTTTTAACAAAATTCGTGAAACCTCCATTGACTGGTCAAAGTATCCTGATCACTCTAGGGTCTGACCCTCAGTTGCCCTTAGGAGCAAATAAATGCACCCCAGCTGGCGATAAGAGTGTTATCTGGAACTAAAAGAGAAAGGAAATGGATTCATAAAAAATTTTCCATTAAACTTAGCATGGAAAGCTTTGTCATTTTAGAACTATTTGTACTGTTCAACGGTGGGAAACATGTTGCAATTAGAAGTGTCAAGATGGGGGTTTCTCAGAGCTGCTACCCCACTGCCCCCATCCTGGCCTGCAAATTTGGAGGGCTGGGCTGAGTGGGGACAGAGGGGCTCTTGAGCCTCCGAGCACGAGGGTTCCAGCAGACCTCTTCTCGACTACTCTCTTCTAAAGGCACAGTGAGGGTACTTTTTCTTCCCGTACAGCCTTCGATCTGGCTCTGACATCCAAGACTACTCCCTCACCGGCTATGTCTGGAGTGCTGTCACCCCTAGCCCAGAGCACCTAGGGGATGAAGTCAACCTGAAGGTGACTGTGCTGTGTGACAGGCTTCAAGAGGCACTCACTTTCACCTGCAACTGTAAGTTAGTGATGGGGGAGAGGGTGTGAGCATCCCTTGAAGTGGGATGGGGATGACTGTGTTTTGGACTCCGTTCCCACCTCATCTTGTGGCCCAGATGAAGGGCAGTGAGGATGCTCCTTTGGGGGCGGGGGTGCTGGCTTTGGGCCCAGCTTTCTAGTGCAGTCACTTTCCCCAACTCTGAACTACTTGCCTGCTTTGTGTGGTTGGTGATGGTGCTGGAGAATACTTAGCTGGGAAGGGGGATCAGGGTGGGAAAACTGAGACCCATCTGCCCTGACATCCATCATCATCATTTCCCCTGCCTTACCCTTCACAGGTTCCTCCACTGTAGACTTGCTTATCTACCAGACTCTGTGCTACACCCATGATGACCTGAGGAATGTGGACGTGGGTGACTTTGTGCTAAAGCCTTGTGGGCTGGAGGAGTTCCTGCAGAAGTGAGTGAATGGGTGGGAGGTAGCCCCTGCCTTCCTGGTAATAAGACTGTGAGGGGGCTTCCTGGGATTGGTGCTGGGACCGGCCTGGCAGCTCCGCCCCAATCCCACAGTCAAGACTCCTGCTTTCTGGGCATACTCTCGGCCACGTCGCACTTTCCCCATGAGCTCTGTCTTCCAGCAGGGTTGGCTGACATCCTGAGCCAAGTCTGCTGTGGAAAGAGCTTGGAGCTGGGATTAGGCAAAGACTAGGTCATATCTGCTTGCAGATTCTGCTTATGGAGGGATGTGTGTATTTGTGGGGAGGAGTGGGCTTGGGGAGACTATATGGGTAGGGCTGTATCTCCTGCTCTATATGATGTGTGGTGTTTTTACGGCTGGGGCAAAAGGAGGACTGGGCAGAAGTGCCCTTGTGGAGCCTAGGGAAGAAATTACAATTACTGTCTCTCCCCATTCTCCTGCCAACAAGCCTTTTCCCCAGCTGGCCCGTGCAGCTAGTTATCCTCCTCCCAAAGGCATGCCTCCAGCTCCTCTCTATCCAGTGCCCTCTGTGGAAAGCAGCCTCCCTGGAAAGTCTGATGTGGACCAGCTGAGGCAACCCCCTTTCCACTACCCTGGGCTTTGGAGGGCTGCAGTGGAAGGGAGGCAGGGGCAAGGTTGCCACTTCTCAGATGGTGCACCTGTGTGACAGCAGACAGATAAGATCTGCTTTCCTCTCTCAGGCTTCAGGGCCGCTCCTCCCCCAATCTCTGTCCACTTGGAGGAAGCACGTCTTGGGAATGGAGAAAGGAGAGACCTGTGTCTCACTTCTTAGGAGTGCCGTATAAGTGCCACTGCTTGCTTTTTCTCTCTCTTACATCCAGGTCTAGATGCAAGGATGGTTGATCTATGGCTAGAGCATAAGATTTGGCAGTCAGGATGGAAGATTCATTTCTGGGCTTCTTTCTTTTTTTGAGACAGAGTCTCGCTCTGTCACCCAGGCTGGAGTGCAGTGGCGCCATGTCACTCAGCTCACTGCAGCCTCCACCTCCCAGGCTCAAGCTATTCTCATGCCTCAGCCTCCTGAGTAGCTGAGATTACAGGCATAAGTGCCACCAAGCCCGGCTAATTTTTGTATTTTTTAATAGAGATGGGGTTTCACCATGTTGACTAGTCTGGTCTCGAACTCCTGACCTCAGGTGATCTGCCTCCCTAGGCCTCCTAAAGTGCTGGGATTACAGGCATGAGCCACTGTGCCCAGCTATCTGGGCTTATTTCTTCAAATTTAGGGATATCGTGGGGTCCTTTCTGGCCTCTGCCTCCTCATCTGGAAGCCAAGGGAAAGGAAAGAGGCAGGGTTCTGTATGGTACAACTCCAGGGTACCCTTCAAATGTGCCCCAACTTTAAACTCATTCAATGTATACACTTTCCCCAGAGGAACAGGAGGGGTCCTAGACTCAGGGTGGCCTGGCAGAGAGAGTATCAGGTGGCCTGCCACTGTTAGAAGGGAACAAGGGGACATAGTGGGTAAGTTGGAGCTCCTGCTGACACCATTACACAGGTTTGAATTCTGACTTGCCACTCACTAGTTGTGAAGCTTGATGCTCAGGGCCCTCTGTAAGCTGCCGTGAGGGTGAAATGTGAGAATGACCTGTGAGCAAACAGTAAATACCATCAGGGAAGGAGCAGCCTACAGAGAGAAGTCCTAGGGCTCTGGGCTGCACAGATCCTGCCATTTCCCTTGCAGCACCCCAAATCCTGCAGCCCCTGGGTCCGGAGGTAGTGGGAGCTGTCAAGTTCTACCTCCCTACCAAGACCCAGGTGAAATACTCTTAGTGAGGTGGGACAGGGTCAGTGGTCCTCAGATCACACTCCGCATACTCTGACTTGAATGCATAGAGAGGAAGGCCTTCCACAGAGAAGATCAAGCAAGTCCCCCAGGAGACCTGTGTCCATGACTCCTGGCCCAGGAGCCCAGCTCCCACCCAACAGAAAAGCACAGTGCTGTTTCTTGGCCCAGCCCCCAGGCCCTCAGCACATGACGACTACCTGGGGTGGGGGTAGAAAGGACCCTCTGGGGGTTCCAGAAATCTGCTAGTTCCCAAGGAAGACCTCAGATTTTCTACCCTGCCTGGCAGGAGGGGCTGATACTGAGGGGGTGAGTGGGTTCAGGATGCAGGCTGCTCTCAGATAAGAACCTTGAGGCAGTCCCGTGGGAGGGTTGGGTTTCCTGCCACCTCCCCCAGCCCCACCACACTCTTCCTTCCTCCCAGGCTCTCCCACCAAGCCCAGCCCCACAGCCCAGCCTCACCATCTCCAGGTTTTGGCTGCACTTCAGTTTCAGATCTGATAAGGGCCTAGATCGGAGGCTTGGGCCTCTCAGGATGTGGAGAACCCCTCACTCAAGTCCTTGCTGGACCTAGACAACCCTGGGCCCTGCACCTCCACCAGCTTCTGCACATAACGCCCCCCTTATGCTCCTGTCCTCTCCTCTCCATTTCTGGCCTAGATTCCCAGCTCTGCTGAGGAAGGAAGTCCTTTTCCGGCTTCTGTTACCCAGCTGCTGAGGCCAGGCCCAGGCCTGCAGTGCTGGCCTGGAGGTAGTTCTTCCTCTGCCCCTCCTCCTGGGTTTCCTTACTGATGAAGGTGTGATTTGGGAGAGAGGAAGAGGTTGGATCACTGAGGGGCTCCTAGGCCTTCTCTCTGAAAGGGGGAGTCTGACACATGGGCGCTTGAGCAGGTGGGATCGGCATGCATTTGGGATTTTTCAAGAAGTCATAGAAATTTGTAAGGTTATTCACAAGCAGGCAGGGCCAACAGAGGGAAGGTAGAAAAAGAACTTGGGTGGGGACACTGATCTGGAGGCTTGGTGGGTTTTCCCCAAGTTATTTTGGCCTCAGCACCCTAGTTGGTAGCATTAGAAGAGGGGTGACTTGCTGAGCTCCCACACTGGAGCCTGAGCACCGGCAGACTCCAACGTGTCTCTTCCTGGTTGTTCCCTGTGTGGAGGCCCAGAGGACAGGGCTTCAACAACTGCTCCCTGTGATGTCCCTCTGTTTCCCCGCTCTCTCCAACAGTTCCCAGCCCTGGAGTGAACCAGTGATTACCACACGGGTCATAAATACCTAAGAGAGTCAATATTTGTACTGACCAAGGATTAAGTATATGAGGTGGCTTTTATTTAGACAGACCTCTGTTCCTTCTCCTAAGCTCCACCCCATGACATTTTCTAGGAGCCAAAGTAGGGTACAACACAGGTACTACCCCCTTACCTTAACCTTCTTTCTGTATCTCTCTCCCCAAGGCTAAGGTATGCATCTCCTTTCCCAGTGAGTCCCCAGGATGCTAATGGTCTTGTCCCTCTACCCTACCAGCAAGCATGCCTTGGGCAGTCATGAGTACATCCAATACTGCCGCAAGTTTGACATTGACATTCGGCTACAGCTGATGGAGCAGAAGGTTGTGCGCAGTGAGCTGGCTCGGACGGTTCGTGTGAGGGTGGTGGAGGGTTGCCCAGGGCTGGGGAGGTGGAATGGGAATACAATATGGAACACATCAGGTGGGAGTGGGGTAGGAGTGCTGGGCTGAGATAAGGGCACTGCGCCTCTCTAAATAAGTCACTTCTTACACAGGTGAATGATGACCAGAGCCCTTCCACCTTGAACTACCTCGTCCATCTCCAAGAGAGGCCCGTCAAGCAGACCATCAGCAGGTGAGTGTGGGCGCCATCTTGGATGTGCTCCAAACAGGAACTGTGCCATCAGATGTGCCTGCTTGCCTTTCTGCCAGGGCTAACAGATTCTTGCACGTGTTGGGTTGGGGCCCACACGTCTTATCAGGGAAGATCCCAACTCTAGGCATGTTTCATCTCTTCCCTCTGCAACTTTGCCATCATTCTCTCCAGGCTAGAAGTGGCAGAATAGAAAGACTCTCTCTCCTTCAGTCTTCACAAGACATATAGAAAGAGTAGGAACTCCTTTAAATCAGAGTGCGAGCTGAGGAGAGGGAGGGAGAAAATGGGTTTCCCAGGGCACTGGGTCTTTCATGACCTCTCCTATGGTTTTTCCCTGCCCCCAACTCCCAGGCAGGCCCTGAGTCTTCTGTTCGACACTTACCACAATGAGGTGGATGCCTTCCTGCTGGCTGATGTGAGTACGAATCCAGGGGCTGGCCTGGCTGTGTGAAAGCTCCTCCTCTCCCCTTCCCCAGTCCTCCTGGGATCACCCAGCACTATGAGGGATCTGGGTGGAGCCTGAAAATCTGTTGGCAGAGCACTTCTTTTTAACCCCTCGCTCATGGGCAAACTAAGACTCCTAGATGTTGGGCAACGGCAAGCGCATAGCCAGGGATTCTGCTCCTCTATAGAAGAAGCAGGTCGGAAACTGCACACTAGTCCCATTCTCTGGAGTAGGATGTCTCCAGAGCTAAGGAACCGAGAGCTGTCACCCCCCAGCTGCTGCACTTGATGTGCATTGGAGCATGCATCCTATGAGCAATGTCAGAAATCTCTGGTTTGAGAGGTTCTGTTTTGCTGTTATCACAGGTAGGAAACCATCAGGAGGTAGAAGGTTTCACATGTAGGGAGGGCCAGAGCCCTACCCGCTTGGACTCACGCAGAGTCTCAAGCCTCAAAACCATGAGAATCAACATTTGTCTTAAATGTCACAATGCCAAAGAAAATCTGACAGTGATCTTCAAAAACAATCCCTTGCTGAGTGTGATGGCTCATGCCTGTAAACGTAACCCTTTGGGAAACTGAGGTGGTAGAATTGCTTGAACCCCAAAGTTCAAGGCCAGCCTGGGCAACACAGCAAGACTCCATCTCTACAAAAAATACAAAAGTTAGCCAGGCATGGTGGCACACACCTGTAGCCCCAGCTGCTCTGGAGGCTGAGGTGGGAGGATCGCTTGAGCCCAGGAGTTTGGGGCTGTAGTGAGCTCTGATCACACCATTGCACTCCAGCCTGGGTGACAGAGTGAGACCCTATCTCAAAAAACAAAACAAAAAACCAATCCCTGTCTCAGTGATCCAGTTAATAGTCATAAACGCGTCCTTTTTGAGGGGTTCAGCATTATGTCTAGTCACTGCCAGAATCCCTTCTCTAGGAGTCTGTGCTTGAACATTTCCAGTGATGGTGGGGAAGCTCTGAACACCTGTGCTGTGCTGGTCTGGCCCTTTGCTAGTGGCTACGATGGGTAGAGAAGTGTAAGAATTGTCGTAGCCTTGGCCAGGTGCAGTGGCTCACGCCTGTAATCCCAGCACTTTGGGAGGCTGAGGTGGGCGGATCACCTGAGGTCAGGAGTTCGAGACTAGCCTAGCCAACATGGTGAAGCCCTGTCTCTACTAAAAATACAAAAATTAGCTGGGCATGATGGCAGGCGCCTATAATCCCAGCTACTTGGGAGGCTGAAGCAAGAAAATCGCTTGAACCAGGGAGGCAGAGGTTGCAGTGAGCCGAGATCGTTCCATTGCACTCTAGCCTGGGTGACAGAGCAAGACTCCGTCTCAAAAAAAAAAAAAAAAAATTGTCATAGCCTTTGGGGAGCTTGTGTTCTTGTTAGAAGAATTGAATAGTAACACAAAGCTATTAGTAGACAGAACAGGATGGTAATAAATTAATTAAGGGCTCCTGGAGGATGCTAGAGGAAGGGGATTGGCCAGGGAGGGCTTTATGAAGCAGGTAGAATTTTAGCTGCTCTGTGATTTAAATTTATATAGGTAATCAGAGCTGGACAGGTGAGGGAATTCCAAATGAGAAAATTCCAGAAGCTGAAGTGCAGAGGGGAGGGTATGGCTGTGGCATATCAGTAGAAGTGAGATGAGATCTGTCTGGAAATTCTACAGGTCTCTGGGAGAGACCCTGTATATATGTGTATAGTATAAGTAGACTACAGAGAGAGGCTAGAAATAGGAGGAGCTTCAAGGGGAACGTCTGAAAGAATTGGGGCATGTGGGCATGGCCCATTGAATTCAGTAGGAGAGATTATTTGCTGATGCTGAATATTTGAAAACAAAATGTATTGCACATTTACCCCTGAGGATCATGAATCTCTCTACTCTTCCCAACCCTTTCCTTTAAAGACTGGGGTGGGGAGGGTTTGGAGACCAAGAGCACGAGAGCGGAGCCTGCCAGCCTCACTGTGTCACCTCCCACAGGGGGACTTCCCACTGAAGGCTGACAGGGTGGTCCAGTCCGTCAAGGCCATCTGCAACGCCCTGGCCGCCGTGGAAACCCCTGAGATCACCAATGCTCTCAACCAGCTGCCCCCCTGCCCCTCCCGCATGCAGCCTAAAATTCAGAAGGTAAAGGGGCCCACGGTGCTAGGAGGGGGAAGGAGGAGAGGGATACTGCCAGGTAACTGAGTTGTCTGTTGCTAGGGTGTGTAGGTGTTCACTGACTAAAAAGGGGCTTCTCTCCACCTCCACCTTTTATGTTTAAGGAATTCAACCACAAGAGCTCTTCAAAAATGGATGCCAAGTGTGTCCCCTCTTCCTGAGCTTGAGGGAGAGCTACCTGGGACTGCTTGCTGAGAGCCCAGGCCAGTAAAGGCTTTATTCACAGTCACCAAGGCATTGCCTGACAGTCCGCATATCCATCAGGGCGCAAAAACAAACCAGGAGGAAAATCTCTCTAGAGCCAGGGGCTCCGGGACTCCAGCACGGGCTGTGTGCTCTGCAGACAGGGCCAGCACCACAGACGCTGTGATCTGCAGCCGAGTAGCCTGAGGGTTGGGATCTCTCAGAAGGGTGGACACGATGATTGCTATCCTCCGTCAGCTCACTCTGTCCATCACACAGATCTGGTACAAACCATTACTCTATCCTCTCTGGGGATTCTCAGCTCCTCACATTTCAGCCCATTCTGGTCCAGATGAGTGCAGCTGTGAAAAGCCCTTCTTCCAGCTGTGACGAAAAAGGCCATGGCCCTGAAGCTCCCCTCCCTCTTCTTTTTCCCCCCCCAAAACAGGATCCCAGCGTCTTGGCTGTGAGGGAAAACCGAGGTAAGGGAACTGCTCTCCATCTTCATCCAGTCGGGCTGCCGAAAACTGCAGTCTCTGCCCAGATTCCTTTTTCTGCCTGGCCCCCTTGATTTATGTGTCGGAGTTTGGCTGGTGTGTCTGTGTGTGTGTGTGTGTGTGTGTGTTCCTATATGAGGTGTGGACACAGCTGGAGAGCACATTTCTTTCCACAAAGTGTTTTCTCATTATTTTTCCTAGTCATTCCTCCTGGTGTCCCTGGGAGATGGTGATGAGGGTGTAGAAGTGTGGGAGTGGGGTGGCGGGGCAGCGCTAGCCCTGTGATCCAGATGGGAAGCCTCCTACTTTGGTAGATTGTGATTATTCTCCCATCGGCTCACACTTCCTACCTTTCCAATTTAGAATGGGCCTTGCGAGAGGATGAGAAAGAATTTTCCCTACAATTTTTCTAGGATTCCCCTGTCGTGCCCTTGAAGCTGAACTTTGCCCTAAGACCGACCTATATCCCTGGGATTCCTTTGTTTTGTTTTTGTTTTTTGTTTTGGCATCCCTGGGATTCTTATGGTGATTCCCAGACATTTTCATAGACCAGTAAAATGTCCCCCAAAGTATCTGGGGGACCAAGAGAGAATTGGCAGCCTTTTACTTGGCCAAACTTTTTTGACTTTTGCTTTTTTGAAGCAACTGACTATAATTATTAACATTGTTTCCTAAAAGAAAGGACATTTTAATGCTAAATAGCAATAAGTAAAAATAAGGATTATGTTTAACATTGTATAACTGTGGTTTTATGAAAAGCTCATGACATGTTTCTGCTTTTTTCTCATTTCACCGCAGATGGGTGAACTTTGTCACAGCTATTAGAGACTGACTAGCATTTGGGGACCACTTTGTCTTAGGCCATCCTATTCTAGCCAGTGCCCTGGCAATAAGGTAGGGCTTGAGGAGGCCTCATGACTTTCCTTTCTGACCCCTTCCCTTCCCAGAGAAGGTCGTGGAAGCCCTGACCGCTGCCATCTTGGACCTGGTGGAGCTGTACTGCAACACATTCAATGCAGACTTCCAGACGGCAGTGCCCGGGAGCCGCAAGCATGACCTGGTCCAGGAGGCCTGCCATTTCTCCAGGGCCCTGGCCTTCACTGTCTATGCCACCCACCGCATCCCCATCATCTGGGCTACCAGGTGAGCCCAGGGCTGAGCAGCCACTAGGGAGCAAGCTGAGTTTGACCTCCACCAGGGCTTTTTCCTATCTGCATGTAATACCACTGTCCTAAGTCTTAGGATGTGTGGCATTGTGTGACATTGTGGTGCAATGGGGCTGCAGGGGTGAGCCAAGTGTCTGAGGAAGACCTGGGCTGGGGATATCCCAGAGGAGAGAGGAGGTCCCTTAGGAGATGAAGAAGATGCTGTTATTCCCTCTTGGTGCTGGCTGCCTCTGCATCCCTGCCCCCTCCAGAGCCAGGACCAGTGGAAGGAGACGTGGCAACAGATGGCGGATTCCCAGATAGAGTGCACGCTCCCTGGCCAGTGGGAGGGGGCAGGGAGGTGGGATTGACCCTTTGTCTGGGGTTCTCTAGGCCTGCAGGGGTGGGTGGAGGAGGATGTTCTTTTGGTAAAATCCTCAGCTCCTCTGTTGGGTCCCCAGCATCCAAGGCCTGAGGGAATAGGCACTGGGCCCTACCCCGCCCCTGCTGGTCCCCTTTCCCCAACCCCCTTCCCCTTCTCTCTTTGTTCCTCACTTAATGTATTCCTCTGGGCGATTGGCAGAGAACAAAGGAGGCAGCCTGGGAAACCGGGGCCTTCTCTGACCTCTTCTGTCAGGCACCTGTCATGAGCCACAGGGACCCCCGTGTGTTGGCATTCACGTCAGCATATGTCGTCTTCCTCCCCCACCCTTCTCACTTGCGCATGCACGTGCACACACACACACGCACGCACACGCAGACACTCGATGGGCTGCAGCTTTCTATAAGGAGGCTGGGTGGCCGGTTCCCATTAAAGAAAGAAAAACCACAAGGCTCAGCATGGAGCCTAAAACCGAGCAGAGGAACTCAGATTAAGTTGCTTTGGCCTGAGCACATTTCCTTACATCCAGTTTGGCTGTCCTATCCAGAGATCCCGTGTTATAGCCCTCAGAGACTGGGAATTTTACCAGGGGAAATGGATTTTGGCCTTAGAGGGATGCATAGGTTTGGGTGATTGGTTTTGGGAGCTGGGTGTCCTGACCTGCTCCCTTTCTTTTGTAGCTATGAAGATTTCTACCTCTCCTGTTCCCTCAGCCATGGCGGCAAGGAGCTGTGCAGCCCCCTGCAGACCCGAAGAGCTCACTTCTCCAAGTACCTCTTCCACCTCATCATCTGGGACCAGCAGTAAGCCCTTCCCCCAGGCTCCAGTGCCCAGGTCACTGCAGACCTACTCAGCCTCTGAAATATCCCTGGGGCCAGATAACTACTCCAGGACTAACGATAAAACCAGGCTTCCTTGTTAACCCTAATTGGACAAGTCATTCAACCTCTTGAGTCTCCACTGCCCTGACTTTTTTTTTTTTTTTTTTTTGAGATGGAGTCTTGCTCTGTCGCCCAGGCTGGACTGCAGTGGCGCGATCTCAGCTCACTGCAAGCTCTGCCTCCCAGGTTCACGCCATTCTCCTGCCTCAGCCTCCCAAGTAGCTGGGACTACAGGCGCCCGCCACCACGCCCTGCTAATTTTTTGTACTTTTAGCAGAGATGGGGTTTCACCGTGTTAGCCAGGATGGTCTCGATCTCCTGATCTTGTGATCCGCCCGCCTCAGCCTCCCAGAGTGCTGGGATTACAGGCGTGAGCCGCTGTGCCCGGCCTCCACTTCCCTGACTCTGAAATGGGGCCAAGTATAATTACCACCTCTCAAGTTGTCATGAGGATCCAATGAGAAGTATCTATAAAGGCTCTTTGTAAACCATAAAAAACTTATAAATGTTAGTTGTTAATTTTAATAATACTTCATTTTTTGATCTTGTCTCCCTTAAAGAGTTTAACTAGTTGGAGGGCTTCTCATCCTCTCCCACTTCCCTCAGTTCCTGTAGACTCTGGAGAGGAGACTGTGCTCTTCCCTTTATATAGAGAGAAGGGAGGGTTGTCTAGAGAAGGAGTATTGAGCTTGGATTCCCAGGAGTGAGCCTCTATTTCTAACTCTGTCTTGAGTACTACTTTCTATTCTTTCTGTGCCTCATTTTCTCAAACTGAGAAATGGGGACATTTGTTTCACTCAGAAGCAGTTATGGCATTGAGATGAGATAGGTGGGTTATAAATATAAATATGAAACCAAAAGCACACAGTAGTATTAATCACCACGTGTAAACAATAATTTGGTGTCGGGAAGGTAGGCGTCAGCCAAGCAAAGCAGGAAGGAAACGGAGGAGAGGGTGCCTTGCTTGAATGGGGGCACCGCAGGGGTTTTCCTGCCCTGTGCGTCGTCTGTGCTGTGCTCTACCTTCCTTCCAGTCAGTCAGAAAATCCCCTGCTTGCTGCCCCCAGCTTTGCTTCCCCACACGAGTCCTCATTTGCAGAGCAGCTCGGCAACCTAAGTATTTGGAGCACAGATTAAAGAGACTGAGGAGGGTCCTGGGGAGGCCGAGGATGTAAAATAGGTAGATGAAAAATCTGGAGATGCTGGAAGGGGTGGGTCATTTTACTGATGGACAACTGGGAAAATGGACCCTTTCTCATGCCCTTCACACTTAGGTAATTCTTAGAGCAATAAAGGTGTATATGGCTGGGCATCATGGCTCACACCTGTAGTCACTGTACTTTGAGAGGCCAAGGCAGGACGATCGCTTGAGCCCAGGAATTTGAGACCAGCCTGGGCAACACAAAGAGGCCTTATCTCTACTAAAAAATTATTTTAAAGGAGCCGAGTGTGGTGGCATGCATCTGTAGTCCTAGCTACTTAGGAGGCTGAGGTGGGAGAGTCACTTGGGCCTGGGAGGTCGAGGCCGCAGTGAGCCATGATCACACCACTGCATTCACTCTAGGCTGGGCAACAGAGTGAGACCCTATCTTTAAAAAAAAAAAAAAGGTGGGGGGGGCGTGCATAAAAGGTCCTTAAGCAAACAACTGCCAGGACAGGAGAAACTCCTTGCAGGCAGAGGATAGCTGCATTAACTGGCCCTTGAGTTCCACCATTCCTTTGGGATTTTTTGGTCACAATTACTGCTGCTGTCAAGAGAAGGGGTGCCAGCCTGGGCAACAAGGGAGATCCAATTTCTACAAAAAATACAAACAATTAGCCGAGTGTGGTGGCATACACCCGTGGTCCCAGCTACTTAGGAGGCTGAGGTGGGAGAATCACTTGAGCCTGGGAGGTGAAGGCTGCAGTGAGCATCCAGCCTGGGCAACAGAGCAAGACCCTGTCTCAAAAAAAAAAAAAAAAAAAAAAAAGGGGGGGTGCTGTAGTCTTCTGGCCCAGGAGGACTTTAAAAAATTGGCCTTAAATCCTTTTCTCATACAGTATCAGAGGTATAGAGGCAGCCTAGCCTGCGCCATGAGTTTCATTTTGTCCCCTGAGATCCCTACTTTGAATTTTAATGGGCCAGTCCCCTGCCTAGAGCCTTGTGAAGGGCATTATCTTGCACTGTCCATCCAGATGCCCTGAATGAGACTTCTTGGCCCTTCATGGTCAAGACCAAGACATTTGGGGGAGGGCGTGCCAGCGTTCAGAGGACAGGCTTTGGGCCAGTCATTCTCTCCTTCCTACTGTAGTTGCAGCCTCAGGCAGGTCTTTCAAACTAGAATGGTGGTGATAACAGGGCCTACCCTACAGGATTGTTTGAGGAGCAGTTAGGACACTGTAAATAAAGTACTTGGCACAGGCTTCTTAGCTGGGGAGCCCTCTTGGTTTTGGTTTCTCCGTTCCAGGTGACTGACAAACTGGCTGATACATGGGGATATGTGCGCATGAAAATACTCTCTGTATAACTCAGTGCCAGTGCAGTAACCACAGTGTCACATAGCAAAAAGTACACAGTGTGCACACACATCATGCAAGTGAAGCTATGTTCCCCTTCTCCCTGATGAGAAACTGAGGCACGGAGATGGGAGTTAACTTGCCCAGGATTGTGAGTGGCAGAACCAGGACTGGAGCCAACCAGCACATTCCAGGAATCCTTCCTGGAGGAGGCAGCCTGTGTGATATGATGTTGTTGAATGGGCTGCAGGAAGGAGAAGGTTTCTAAGGGAGGAAGGTAAGGGCCGCAGCCAACATAATGGTTATCCTGACCAGCCCTAGGTGAAGGTCTGTGGGAGAGGTTTTGGAATACCAGATATACCCAAGGATTGAAGGGAAAGAGGGCCTTGGCTGGCTCTGGTTTCACTCGTAAAATCTTCTCACTCTCCTTTTCCTTAAGACATGAAGCTGGAAGCTTCTTCTTTAGGCAAAAAGAGAGGGCTCAGGACCAGCTCCCTCTCCCCTTTGCTATGGGGTCAGGTGATTCTCTGCCCCACTGTAGCAGTCCAGGGATCAGCTAACTCTCAAAATAGGCTCAGCAGCCGTGCTTTGTCACCTCCAGCCAAGCCCTGGCCTGGCATGTCTGCTGGCCGCTGGAGGGGCCCTAATTATAGCTGTGGGCCCCCAGGGTAGAGGCAGCTGGGATAGAGCAGGGCTCTGCCAGTCTGTGGTGGGCTGGAGGGAGTGCCTCACTTAGGTGGAGATTCCCCTGGAGGACAGCGGCGAGGCAGGCTGCTTTATCATGAAACTGCTAACCTTGGGGGTGGCTGCCCTGCCTCTGTGCCCTCTGGCGTAGAAGTTGCTGGGCCCTGGGCTGGCCAGGAGGGTGTGACAGTATGGACTTTGGCCCAGGGACAGCTTCCCGGAAAGGTAACATGGGTCCTCCCTGCTTTTCCACAGCTCCCCTCCCCTGTGTACTTCACCCCACCTAGCAGTTCCTTATCCTGAGCATAGAGGGAGCGGCTAGGTGTGGTTCAGACTGAGGACCTGGAGAGAACTTACGGGCTTGAGCAGTGGTGGGCCTATGTGTCTCAGTTCTCTTGGTCCTGCCATTGGCTTTCTCACCTGGGGGACTTGGAGAAGCCCCTCCTCTTTGTCCCTTTGGCTTTGAATCTGTTTGGGGGTGGGGGTGAGAAAAACCCATCGTGTGTCCCTGGGGCTAGGTGAAGGGGACTTGTATGAGGACAAGTGACAGGGCTGTGGGGGAGGGTGAACCGAGGGCAGAGAACATGGTGCTTCTTCTTGGTGGCTCTCAGCAGCGAGAAGTGGGGGAGGGATGGGGGCTGTCAAATGGAAAAGGAGGACAAAAGGAGTAGCTTTGTGGACCCTCTGAAGAAATTCTAAAACAAGGAAAGGAGCAAGGCTGACAACATGGGATGTGTCATCACCTGAACTCCGAGGTGGCTCTGCTAAGCAAGTTCTGTCCGGGCACCATGGGTAGCCTCAACATCAGGGGATGTTTGCCTCACTCTACTGCAAAGCTCCAAGGACACATTGTGCTTCTGGGAACATCCAGTGGGGTTTTCGCCTAGTTTGGGGCCTCTCCTGGTTCTGTAGGAGGAGGGCTTCCTCAGGGAGTGTGTCTGAACCCTGAGAGGCAGGCTGTATCCTCAGCCTCAGCCTGACTTCCTGGACCACCTGTTGCTTGAAGCCACAGGAGTGGCCCCTCCTAATTTGATTTCCTGTCCTCCATAGGATCTGCTTCCCAGTGCAGGTGAACCGGCTGCCTCGGGAGACCCTGCTGTGTGCCACTCTCTATGCTCTGCCCATCCCCCCACCGGGGAGCTCCTCAGAGGCCAACAAGCAGCGGCGGGTGCCTGAAGCCCTGGGCTGGGTCACTACCCCACTCTTCAACTTCAGGCAGTATGTGAGCCCCAGGGTACAGCTTCTTGGCCTTGGGAGGGGAGGAGGGGGACAGAGAAAGGGGCCTGGCTGCTGCACTGGCCAGTGTGCCTTGGGAGAGTTGGCCATGTGGGGCTCACTGGTGAAATCCAGAGGATCCCCAAGCACAGAACTGGTGACCAGGAGTATTGATGTAATCAAGAGCCTCTGAGTGGTTCTGGTGGCACAGGACCATGTTGAGGATACATGGAAAAGCAATGCTTGGGTAATAGATCATCTGGTCTTGTCACTGGAAGAACCTTAGAGGTCATCTAGCCCAGCCTCCCCACCTCACCAAGGCATCCCTGCCACCAAGTCATCCAGACCAGGGTGTGGTTAGCTCACAAGTCCTCTTGGAGGGCGTGAGCTTTTATAGGACTTGGGAGAAGGAGGAGGCTATGGTCTATGGGGAGACTGAGAGAGTGGAGTTGGATGGTGGCTTCAAACAGAAAAGGCAGATTTTTGGATTGGGGGAGCAGGAGAAATACTCTCTGCTTAGCCATTTTAGCAGCTCTTCCCACTCTCCTTCCTTCTTAGGGTCCTGACCTGTGGCCGGAAGCTTCTGGGTTTATGGCCAGCAACACAGGAAAATCCCAGTGCCCGTTGGAGTGCACCTAATTTCCACCAGCCAGACAGTGTCATCCTGCAGGTGAGGCTTTAGCCTTTCCCTCCCACTCACCAGCAAGACCATTCCAGTCAACTCTACATTTTTCCCCTTGAGATTTGGGCTGGGACAACAGGAGACAGTGCTAGAACTTCAAGCATGGGAGGATGATGTGACTGAAGCAACTGAGTGAATATGGTTAGATGTGGAGTGTGAGGTGAGCTCTGGGGTATCCATCTCCCATCTCCTGGAGGTTAAATTGATTTCGTGGAGCCTGAAGATGGGGTCTGAGACCCTCTGCATTCAGGGCTCAGCTTCTGAGTCCCTTGTATTGAATCCTCATACTTCTAAGTCTGATCAAACCTGACCTGTGCCCTCTTGGAGCCTGAGGGGACACCTTTCCCCCTTCCGGTGACTCAGTGCTTTGGCAGGATGGACCTATTCTCCAGGGAGAAGAGGAGGAGCTGGTCACGCCCAAGGTCTAGTTCCTAGTTCCCAGCTTCCCTTTCTTGTGGTTATGAGATACCTTGTGTGAATGTTGACATAGAATGAAAGCTCCCTGAGGCAGGTTTTTTTTTTTTTGAGACAGGATCTCTGTCACCCAGGCTGGAATGTAAAGGCATAATCTTGGCTCACTGCAACCTCTGCCTTCCACACACAAACCATCCCCCCACCTCAGCCTCCCAAGTAGATGGGACTACAGTTGCATACCACCACGCCCAGCTAATTTTTGTCTGTCTTATTTACTACTCTATGCCCAGAGCCTAGAAAATGCCTGGCACATGTTAGGATTCAATAGATATTTGTTGAACGAGGTTGGGTGCGGTGGCTCATACCTGTAATGCCAGCACTTTGGGAGGCCGAGGCAGGGGGCTCACCTGAGGTCAGGAGTTCGAGACCAGACTGGCCAACATGGTGATACCCTGTCTCTACTAGAAATACAAAAATTAGCTGGGCGTGGTGGTGCGTGCCTGTAATGCCAGGTACTCAGGAAGCTGAGGCATGAGAATCGCTTGAACCTGGGAGGCAAAGGTTGCAGTGAGCTGAGATCACACCCCTGCACATTCCAGCCTGGGTGACAGAGCAAGACTCTGTCTCAAAAAAAAAAAAAAAAGATATTTGTTGAAGGAAAGAAAGTAGAGCTCTTTTGGAGACTTGGCTCACTCAGCTCTGATACTTTAGTAGGATGAACATCTGGTGGCATAGAGTAGGGACCAAGTGTCCCAGGGCCTTCTCCCAGTTGTGGTTCCGCCTCCCCTCTGGCAGCAGTGCCCTCTGGCACCCCATGGAAGGCTCCCTGGACTCAGCCTGGATGTACCCCATGGTTCAGCTGGGTGACACTTCTGTTCAGAGTTCTGGCTGGGGCTTGTCCCCACACCCCTCACCAACGTGCATCTCCACCGAACCTCTTCCTCACGTGTCCATTCTTTTTCTCTTTTTGTTTCCCTTTCATTTTTTCTGAGAGTTATAGCTGGAAAGGACTTCAGAGATCACCAAGTCTAACTGGGTTATTTTACAAAGAACCTGAGGGAAAGTGAGGGAGGGACAAGGCTGGAATGCTGGGGTGAGAGAAAGAAGCTGGGAGTCCACACGCTGCCTGTTCTCTCTCCTCACGTCCTTGATCCCATCCCCCAGATTGACTTCCCCACCTCGGCCTTTGACATCAAGTTCACCAGCCCCCCTGGAGACAAGTTCAGCCCCCGCTATGAGTTTGGCAGCCTCCGGGAAGAAGACCAGCGCAAGCTTAAAGACATCATGCAGAAGGAGTCCCTCTACTGGTGAGCCTGGGCCCCCACTGAATCTGCCATGTTTCATCTGACCTCCCAGCATTGTCTCTGTCCTGCTTTGGGAGTGGAGGTGGGAAGGGGAGGCAGCCCCCAGGCTTTTCTCCATCAGCTGACACTAGGAAAAGTAGAGAGGTCAAGGTCAGGAAATTAGATCTGAGAGTACCCAAGTCCCCACCCCAGGGACTTGGTCCATACTCAGCTACCCAGGAGGACCAGAGCTCTGCCCCACGTCCCAGATGTGCTGCCTACTACCTTCTGTCCACTGGGGCAGCTGGCCCCACCACCCTGCCCCCACCTCCTGCCCTCACCTCCTGCCCCTTCCACACCAACAGCCTTTGAATTTTTCTGGCCCTGTCACTTTCCAAAAAGGATCAGGTGTCAAGGCAAGCTGGCAGCTCTTAAGGGTAAGCGAGTCCAGGCTGATCTCATCCTTGGGGCTGCTGCTTTCACAGGATTGGAGAAGGAGGGGTGAGAACAGAACTGGAGGAGCTGGAGGGACCCGGTTCCCCTGCCTGCTCTCTGTTTACTTCTCTGGCTCCTGCACAGCCCTGTGCGTGTGTTGTGTGTGTGGGGACATGAGAGAGACGGGGCTCATCTCTGTCCCTTATGTCCACCCTGAGTAGCTGGAGTAGCTGAGTGACCGCAGACCTCCCTTCCCCCATTCTGCCCACTGCACTTCATTAGCCCCTCAGCTCCCTTCTCCCATTAGACACCTGATCTCAGGCAAGGCCCAATTAGCTGCAGGTCCTTGAAAGCCGACAGCTGGTCCCTGGAGGCCCCAGGAGGCCCCTCAGCAGCCCAGACCCTGGTGTTGGGGGACCACTGCCCTCTGGTGGTTCTACTTGAGAGTGGTACCTTCAGGGCATCCGCAGGAGGGGTAGCAGATTCGGGTGCCCTTGGCCCATGCATTCTGCCTCCAACCAAGATGTCGGTGAGTTGGGATCAAAGATAGGATTTGGGCCCTGGTTCCCGAACTTTGCTTCATATTGGAATCACCTGGTGATCTTTGGCATATACCGATGCCTGGCTTCCCCGGCCATTCGGACATAACTGGTATCAGGTGTGACCCAGGCATGGCAAGGGGGTTCACCAAGCCCCTCAAGTGGCTATCATATGCAGCAAAGCTTGGGAACCACTGAATTGCAGTGTGTGCAGCACTCCCTTGAGGGTAAGTACTGCGCCCCTTGGCTGACGCTCTTCTCTCCCACTGCCCCCTACCCTCCCACCACCTTCTCCTTTCCCCATGCCCACCAGGCTCACTGATGCTGACAAGAAGCGCCTGTGGGAGAAGCGATATTACTGCCACTCGGAGGTGAGCTCGCTCCCCCTGGTGCTCGCCAGCGCCCCCAGCTGGGAGTGGGCTTGCCTGCCTGACATCTATGCTCTCCTGAAGCAGTGGACCCACATGAACCACCAGGATGCCCTGGGGCTCCTGCATGCCACGTGAGTTGTAACATCCGCCTTTTCTGACCATGTGTCCTTGTAGAAGCCAGAGCATGGCACTGCCCATCACTGATCTGAGCCAGCCCTGGGGAAAATGGTAAAGTGGGTGTGGATATTCAGGGATTTTCCATTTCTCCTTTTTGCTTTTCCTTTCTCATCTTCCCCCCCAATGTTATATTATGGTCATTTTTCAAACATACAACAAAATTGAAAATTATACAGTGAATGCCCGTGTGCCCACCACCTAGATTCTGTCGTTAGCATTTGCTCCATGGGCTGGATTGCATACATTTCATTTATCCATCCCTGTATCCATCCATCTATCCATCTTATTTTTTATGCTTTTTTTTTTTTTTTTTTTTTTTTTTTTTTGAGACAGGGTCTTGCTCTGTCACCCAGGCTGGAGTGCAGTGGCATGAATATGGCTCACTGCAGCCTCGACCTCCTGGGCTCAAGCACTCCTCCTGCCTCAGCCTCCCAAGTAGCTGGAACAACAAGTGCACACCACCACACCTGACTAATTTTTAAAATTTTTTTTTGTGGAGATAAAGTCTTACTATGTTGCCTGGGCTGGTTTCAAACTCTTGGGTTCAAGTAATGCTCCCTCCTTGGCCTTCCAAAATGCTGAGATTATAGGTGTGAGCTACCATGCCCAGCCTTTTTATACATTTTGAAGTAAATTACAGACACCATTAAACTCCCTGCTTTGGCATGCACATCATTACCTAGAGCTCAATGTTTGTTCTGTGTTGTTTTTCTTTTGAGGCAACATTTACACATAAGCAAATACCCAAAGTTTACCTGTACACTGGCTGAGTTTTGACAAATGCATACACCTGTGTAACTGAAATCCTTATTACTTAGTTTTATTTTAACCATCGTCTCTCCCCTCTTGCTCTTGAAGGGTTCTCTGGGGACCCAAGGCTTCCAGTCTCAGATTCGTTAGGGCTGCCTTTTCTAGGTGGTACCCAGGATTTCCTGCTTATTTCTCACCACTCTCAGTAATCAAAATGTACCTATTCACGTGACCTGCCTTAAGGAGTTTTTGAGCCAATGGTTTTGTTAATCTCTGCTAAACTAATTCTGCCAATGTTTATTGGCTTATATAAAATTCTGTGATTTTATGTTATGTGCCTGGTACATTTTGCATTAAAGGATGTTACCAAGACAAAATAATGCTTTTACCCACATCAGGGCCCTCCAGTGGTGGGAATTTCTGACACAGTGGGAGTCAAGGGAGAACTCTTTGGGAGTAGGGTTGAGGACTTTGTTCCGTTTTCTTTAAATCATCCAAGGAGTGAGAGTGGCTACCCAATTGCTCCCCCATGGCTCAAAGTAGACTCTGACCATGAAGAAGGCTCATTCCCAAGGGTCGCTATCCAGGGAAGGTGCTAAGGATTCTTCTAGTGACTTTGGCAGAACTAGGGCCATTGCATTTTCTTTCTCCACGCCTCTGAAGCCCAGGTGTGAGGGTGCTTGGCTCACAGCTGTTCCTCAACCTGCAGCTAGGTTGTCAGGGCACTGGGCTCTGTTTTGCAGCTTCCCGGACCAGGAGGTGCGTCGTATGGCCGTGCAGTGGATTGGGTCACTCTCGGATGCCGAGCTGCTGGACTACCTGCCCCAGCTGGTACAGGTGGGTGGATTGGTTCTCCCTCCAGTTTTGCCGGTCTCATCCCCAATATCCCAAGTGAGTCTGCCCCTTAGAAACCAGAGATCCCAGTGCAATGATAATAGGTGTAGGTTACAGGCAGTTTATGAAGCTTCATATTTTCTTTCTCCCTTTCTCCGAAACAGGCCCTGAAGTATGAATGCTACCTGGACAGCCCGTTGGTGCGCTTCCTTCTGAAACGAGCTGTGTCTGACTTGAGAGTGACTCACTACTTCTTCTGGTAAAACTGCATGTAGAAAAGTGGGAGGTAGACACGTGTCTTTCACATAGGAGTATTTCACTTTTAGGCACGCAAGGGCAAGGAGCTGAGTTGTCCAAGCTCCAGTATGTTGCTAACTTACCCTGTGGCCTTGGCCCAGCATCTTTTCCTCAGGGGTCTCAGCTCACCCCCATGTAACATAGTGAGGATTATGTTATCCTGTCTCTCCTCTATCCACACATGGCAGAAATAGGAAGGGGAAACAAGATGCAGAGGGGCTGTGAACTCTACTTAAAGACAGAGTGAGGGCACAGACTGGGGTATGGGCACAGGTGAACATCTCCATATAAGCTGTACATACCGAGTGTATTTTCCCTCCCAAGTTCAGGGGGGTTTTGCAGTGAGTTGGAGCTGGACTTGACTCTGTCTCCCCCTGCACCCTTGCCTTTAACCCCTGGAGTGCTCTGACTCCCGACTCCCTCTGCCTTGCAGGTTGCTGAAGGATGGCCTCAAGGACTCTCAGTTCAGCATCCGCTACCAGTATCTGCTGGCAGCCTTACTGTGCTGCTGTGGCAAGGGGCTGAGAGAGGAGTTTAACCGCCAGTGCTGGCTTGTCAATGCCCTGGCCAAACTGGCCCAGCAGGTCCGGGAGGCAGCCCCATCTGCAAGGCAGGTTAGTGGGGTGAGGCTGCCTCTACCCATTTCTCATCTAGGGCTTTGGCAGCCAGTGTCTTCTTAGGAATCCTGAACAACAAGATTCCATGTGATGATTTTTGATTTCGGAGCTGGGAGCAGAGCAGGCAGTCCACAAGCTGGATACAGCCCGTGGATGTGTTTTGTTTGTCCTGTAAAATATTGAAATTTATTTAGCTGTTTGTTTTAAAGGCTAAGCACAGTTGTGTAAGTTGTTCACTGCACAAGAGCACTCAGCCAGAAGGGGCAAGTGAGGGCTGAAATCCAGCCATATTTTGTTCACCATGCTGTGACCCATGGCTCAGGCCGGATGCCACCCAGAGAGGACACCTTTATCTGTTGGTATGAAGGCATTATAACCAGTGAGCGGTGTTCCTGGTTAATGACATTTAAAAATTGAGAGATTTTGTATCAACGTCCAGATTGTGAGCTTTTCTTGGCAAAAGCCTGAGCAGCTCTTCCCCCTTGAGAGACAGCCTGCCCTCTCTGTGCACTGTGGCCTGCTTCATGCTGTTCTGCCATCTGCTGCCCTCTAGAGCTATCTAGTGTTGCTGTTAGCGCACTGTCCCAGGCTGGGGTGTAGGGGGTCCTCCTCCTTAAGGATCTTCTGGAGGGTGTCCACACTTCTCAGGGGGCTGGTTTTCATACCAACTACTACTGACAATCCACCCCTGGGAGAGGTCTGGTTCTCAGTATGGACCCTTCATTTCACTTCTGCTGTACTCCTCCCCTTCTTCCCAGGGAATACTCCGCACGGGCCTGGAGGAGGTGAAGCAGTTCTTTACCCTCAATGGCTCGTGCCGCCTGCCACTCAGCCCCAGTCTGCTGGTTAAGGGAATCGTGCCCAGGGTGAGTGACTGGTAGGTTTGGGGCTCTCAGAGTGGGAGGGCTCAGTGGAGGTGAGGTCCTCACTAACCAGGCACGCAAGGGCGAGGAGAGCTGAGTTGTCTCGGCTTCAGTATGTTGCTGACTTACCATGTGGTCTTGGCCCAGCACCTTTTCCTCAGGGGTCTCAGCTCACCCCCATGTAACATGGTGAGGATTATGTTATCCTGTCTCTCCTCTACCCACACATGGCAGAAATAGAAAGGAGAAACAAGATGCAGAAGGGCTGTGAACTCTGTTTAAAGACAGAGTGAGGGCACAGACTGGGGTATGGGCGCAGGTGAGCATCTCCATCTAAGCTGTAAAATAAGAGAGAGATTAGGAAGAAAGGCCTCTTTGTGCCGCTTCCCATTCCTCATGTGTATGGACTTTTAGAAGCCTGACAGCTCGCAGGGTGGAGGAATTGGGTTGGAGGCTGGGCAGCTGGGCAGGTGTCTTTCTCTGATGATGTTGGGGATGAAGTCAGGGGTAGTGGTGGTGATAGCTGTCATCTGTCATTTATTGAGCACTCTCTGTGCCCGGCCCTGTTCTGAGTGCTTAACGTTGGTTATGGCATTTCATCCTCACAACTCTTAGGACATGGGTACTATTGGGAGTCCCCTTTTACAGAGGAGTAAACTGAGGTATAGGTGGGACATGTGATTTACCAGAGGTCACACAACTAGTAAGCTGTGTGCAGAATGAACTAACAGGCTGAGAGGTCAAGTGCTGGAACTGAGGTCATAACAAACTGAATTGGGATGATGACTATAACGAGAGAAGGAAGGAAGTTGGGTTCCTGAGAAATCCGGAAGAAACAGTGAGCAGGTCTTGGGTGGACCGGCAGCAGGAGGGAGGCGGCATCTTGGTCTGAAGTGGAGAGGTCGTTATCCTTTCCTGGCACAGGCTACTCTGACCCTCGTCACTATCCTTTTCACCATGGCAGGACTGTTCCTACTTCAACTCCAATGCTGTCCCCCTCAAACTCTCCTTCCAAAATGTGGATCCCCTGGGTGAGAACATCCGTGTCATCTTCAAGGTGAGAATACTTTACTCAAGCCTGGTGGACCAGGGTGGGAGAGAGAAGGAGGCAGCCTAGAGTGGCATTAAGTAGCTCCTGGGTGGTTCTCTTCCCACCGTTCCATGCTGTCTTAATGTAGGAAAGACGATCAGGTGAAAAAGGATTTTGACGAATTCTGCATGGCCTCAGAGGGCTAAGAACAGAGTGTTAGGTATAGGGAGGCAACTCACAGCTCAATATCCCGAGTGCTTTCTAGGAGGCAGAGCTCCCTCAACAATGGGTTGGGTAAGATGGTGATCCACTTGTCCCTCGGGTATTCAGGCAGAGGCTGAATGTCACATGGCAGGGCTGCTGAAGAGGAAATTAATATATCAGGTGCAGGTCCAACTAGATGAACCCTGAGGTCCCTTCTAACTCTGATGTATCCACAATTCTGAGAAGTAAATGATAGTCTCAGAGCATATAATCTAACGGGGGAGACAAAATACATGCACGTGACTTAGTAACTTATATATTTGCTGTGTGCAAGTTCCAAATCCAAAGTGTAAACATTCAAGTTTTAAAAAAGGCCTGATGGCCTGGGCGTGGCACCTCATGCCTATAATCCCAGCACTTGGGGAGGCTGAGGCATGCAGATCACTTGAGGTGAGGAGTTTGAGACCAGCCTGGCCAAGATGGTGAGACCCCATCTCTACTACAAATACAAAACAAAATTAGCTGGGCGTGGTGGCAGGCACCTGTAATTCCAGCTACTTGGGAGGCTGAGGTGGGAGAATCACTTGAATCCGGGAGACAGAGGTTGCAGTGAGCCAAGATTGTGCCACTGCACTCCAGGCTGGGTGACAGAGTGAGACAACATTATCTCAAAAAAAAAAAAAAAAAAGCCTGATGGTCAGAGGGGCTACATGCAGAAGTGGACCGTGAATTTAATTCAGATGGGGCCATGGGATTGAGGGACAAGCTGGAACAACACATGGGCAAACTGGGAAGGTTCCTGGGCCATCTTTGACCTGGTCTGAGCTGAGTGAGCAGGTCAGGGATATGAGGATGGGGAACTCCCTGTCACTGTTAGTTTAGGGTCAAGGTTCAGCACTTGGGAGACCTGAGAGCTGGGGAGGCAGTGGAGACGGGATCTGGTCACTTTCTCCCTCCATCCAGTGTGGGGACGACCTTCGCCAGGACATGCTGACGCTGCAGATGATTCGCATCATGAGCAAGATCTGGGTCCAGGAGGGGCTGGACATGCGCATGGTCATCTTCCGCTGCTTCTCCACTGGCCGGGGCAGAGGTCAGTTGGGAGTGGGAGTGAGGGTGGTGGACGGGACCCCTTTGCTTATTGTCCTTCCGCCCATTGCCAACACAAACTGTGTCCTCCTCCAGGAAAGTGAAAAGGGCAAGATTATTTCATGAGAAGCTGTGGGATAGCCTTAAAAGGGAGGCATGGGAGAGAGATTGTTATAAAGTGAAACAGACTTGGCGCTGTAACAGCCAAGCATGTTGTGTAGACTTTGGATCCTGATTAAAACAAACCAATTGTAAGGAAATAGTTTTTGGGGCAGGCATGGTAGCTCATGCCTGTAATCCCAGCACTTTGGGAAGCTGAGATGGGAGAATTGCTTGAGCTCAGGAATGTTTGAGACCAACCTAGACACAGAGCGAAACCTCATCTCTAATAAAAATGATAAAAAATTAGCCGGGTCCAATGGCATGTGCCTGCAGTCCCAACTCTTCGGGAGGCTGAGGCAGATGGATCGCTTGAGTCCAGGAGTTCGAAGCTGTAGTAAGCCATGATGGTGCCACTGTACTTCAGACTGGGTGACAGAGTGAGACCCTGTGTGAAAAAAAAAAATGTGGAGATATATATATATATATATATATATATATAGAGAGAGAGAGAGAGAGAGAGAGAGAGAGAGAGAGAGAGAGAGACAATGGGGGAAATTTGAATATAGATTGAGTTAGATTAAAGAGTGATTGTTAATTTTTTGGATGTGACAATGGCATGGTGTCTTTGTTAATTACATTTGAAATATTTATGAGTGAAATAAAGTATCTGGGATTTGCTTTAAAATACTCCAACCAAGGTGGCAGGGAGTGGAGAAATAGGGTTGTGTGATTAGCAAACAAGATTAGCAAAATGTTGACAATTTTTGAAGCTGGGTGATTGTTACATGTATTTTTAAATTCCTGTAGTAAAAGCTAAAAACAAAGGGAGCAGCAGCTATGAACTGGAGAGACCAAAAAGTCACAGTATGGAATAGGAAATGTGGGAATGACCTTCCTTTCTGTGGTTATTCTTTTCCTGTTATCATCAGACTTAGTCCAAATGCCTTACACCTTAATTTATAGAGGAGCATGAGCACCGTCCTTGTAGTCCTCTCCCTGCAGTCCCCTTCATTCTGGTCTGGAACGTGACCCCCATTTCTCCCCTCACAGGGATGGTGGAGATGATCCCTAATGCTGAGACCCTGCGTAAGATCCAGGTGGAGCATGGGGTGACCGGCTCATTCAAGGACCGGCCCCTGGCAGACTGGCTGCAGAAACATAACCCTGGGGAGGACGAGTATGAGAAGGTAGGGTTGGGGGTGGGGAGTGCATCTGGGGTGCGTGTGCCTGATGCCAGCACACAACTCTTTAACCACAAGACCCGCACTTGCTCAGAGAAGACAGCTTAGCTTTGTTGGCAGAAGGACCTACCCTTTCTTCGTTGACTGGTGCCTCCAAATAGCTAGGGGTGACTCACTCAAATGCCTCTTGTAAGCTGGCTGAGAAAATCCCCTGATACTGGACTGAGAAACTTTCATTGAGTTCCCCTGGCAGATTAAGCCTTGCAGGAGGCGCCAGCTTTTGAGAACCTACCTGTATCCCTCCCAGTTGTGGATCTTGTTCAACTTCCCTTGTGTTCTTAGAGGGTTCAGTGGTACTTTCTAGAATAAGAGTTGGTTGGAAGAGACTTTAGAGATCCCTTTATTCCAGCCCCTTCTTTTCATAGCTGTGAATTAAGACTCACTCACTCACTCCTAGTTATGGAGCTGATGTGTGGCAAGGCTGTAACTCAAAGCTAGGATTGAGGTTAGATATGAGACAGACGAGTGAAAAGAGGGCTGGCTGGTTCGTGATGAACGAAGATTAGATTAGAAGTGGAGCTTTCCTGGGTGGTAGGGCCTTGGTAGCCTGCTACGGTCCATGGGCTGTTCCCAGCCTCACAACTCTAGTCTCTCGGTTAATTAGGTTGAGGGAAGTAGGGACACTGGGAAGGAACAAATCACAATAACCAAACTCACAAGAGACTGGCTATATGCCAGAATGCTAATTCATATAATTTTAACTTCAAGGGACCCAAATACTAATTTATATTGATCAATGTACTTTATCCTGGAGGGAAAACCAGCATGGGCAGCCAAGGTATAATCAGAACATTGTTCAGTGAATGTGTAATTAGATGATCTTAAATGGCTTTCAGTGTTTGTGTTCTCCAGGGCTTAATTCCTGGTCAGCTGGGCCCTCTTCGCACTCTTCTTGTGCCAGCTCATTGTCTTATGACTTCAACTACCACCTAAATGTTGATGACCGCTGAAGCCATTCCTCTAGCCCTCTTCCCTTCCTCCAGGTGGCTCTATAGCCACCTTCTTGCTGGACTTTTCCACTTATGTTTCACCCACGTCTCAAACTCAGTGTAGGCAAAACAGCCCGCTGTCTCTCCTTTGCCTCTTGAAACCTGCTTTTTGTGTTTGCTGTTAGTCAATTGTGCGACTCTCTGTGCGTTTACCCAGGCAAAGCCACGGTCTTCCTGATGCTTCCCTCTATCTCATTTCTGTACCAAGCTCTGTTTATTCTTCTTCCCATCGATCTCTCAAACCTGTCCTCTTCTTTCTATTTTGTTACCATTGATTTTGTTCAGCTCTTTGCTGTCGGTCCCCTGAACCACTGGAATGCCTCTCCTCCATCTAGAGCCAGCCTCTGCTTGATTTCAGAGGTTTTTTTTTTTTTTTAAATGCAGATAAGTTCTTCAAAGCCTCCCTGTGTCCTAACAGATAAGTCCAACATCCATAGCATTGCACACAGAGCCTTTTACAATCCAGCCCTGCTGACTCCTGTAATCCCATCCACTGCAACCTACCACCTTATGCTAACCTATGCTCCAACTAGGTTACTAGCTGGATCATAGGCGAGGGTTACTACTTTCATTTCCGCAGTACTGTAGGCAATACTATTTCCTTTACCCGGAAAGTCTTCCCTCCTCATTCCTCAAAACTCTGCCGCTCTATGCTATACATTTCAAGATCCTCTACCTTTGGAGAGGAGTAATGATTTTTTTCCTTTCTGCTACCAACACCCACATATACTTACTCTTTATACTAACATGCATTTTTCAGATATTAAACACCCATATGCAGAGGCACTGTACTAGGTGCTGGAGTTATGATTACTCCCTGCCAATGTAATAGTCATATATGTGTAAATGTATGGAAATAATACTAAATAATAAATGTACAAATGTACAAAAATATAATATAAAAATAAATGCACAGAAGAATGTATGAGAATACACACACACAGAAACTAACTCTGCATGTTCATGTTTAATCTCAGTCTTTCAAAGATAGCTTCTCTGCTCTTCTAACCTTTCTGCAAGAATAATGCTGGTAGTTTCTTTCTTTTTGAGGCAGGGTCTCACTCTCTCACCCAGGCTGGAATACAGTGGCATAATCACTGCAACCTCTACCTCCTGGGTTCATGCGATCCTCCTGACTCAGCCTCCTGAGTAGCTGGGACTACAGGCGTGTGCCACCGTGCGTGGTTAATTTTTCTGTTTTTTATGGAGATGGGGTTTTGCCATGTTACCCAGGCTGGTCTTGAACCCCTCGGTTCAAGAGATTCACCCACCTCAGCCTCCCAAAGTGCTGGAATTACAGGCATGAGCCACCACCCCCAGCAATGCTGGTAGTTTCATCTGATGACTTCCAGAAGAAATAAACTAGAGGTATTTTTCTCTTGGCCACCTACTCAGCAAGAGAGTATCCCACACCCTACACATGAAACCCTTAAATGAGGAGGCAGAATGCCCCTTTATAGCGTGAGACTTCTTGCCAGTAAGCGGCTAACACCCTGCATAACTTAGGGAGGTGAAAAGAGTTTAGTCATTTACCCACAGGCACACAACTATTTTCTCAGCCAAAATAGGATTCATTTAAGGTAGAGCATCTGTGACAGGGAGAGGATTTGATAGAGATCCAGGTCAAGACTGGGAGTTATGCATTATGCTCCTTTTTAAGTGCTTTTATCCATTTTTTTTTTTTTTTTTTTTTTTATTTTTTTTTTTTTTGAGACGGAGTCTCGCTCTGTCGCCCAGGCTGGAGTGCAGTGGCCGGATCTCAGCTCACTGCAAGCTCCGCCTCCCGGGTTCCCGCCATTCTCCTGCCTCAGCCTCCCGAGTAGCTGAGACTACAGGCGCCTGCCACCTCGCCCGGCTAGCTTTTTGTATTTTTTTAGTAGAGACGGTGTTTCACCGTGTTAGCCAGGATGGTCTCGATCTCCTGACCTCGTGATCCGCCTGTCTCGGCCTCCCAAAGTGCTGGGATTACAGGCTTGAGCCACCGCGCCCAGCCAACCTTGCCATTCTTAGAAAGTTTCCAGTGGTTCCATCATCAGGTTGTAATTCGACAAGTAGCTGGGGTGGGTGCCTTCTGTGTGGAGCTAGTTTTGCAATAGGCCGTGTGAAATAGGCAAGAAGCTGTTAGGAGAACAGATCTCTAAACCCCATGGGACTGAAAGGACCAAGTAAACACTGTACGAATGGAGGTGACAGTGCATCTGTAGGGGTTCAGAGAAGGAGGAGTCAGTGTGAGCTGGGAAGGTCTGGAAAGATATGAGACTCGAGGTCATTGAAGGATGATGGGTGGAGATTTATGGAAGGAGGCAAGGAGGGCGGGCATTCCATATCTAGTAAGCTTTCCCTCGTTCCTAATTTCACGCATTCCTACCTGGCTATGACGATCATTGCCCTCTGCTGATGTCTTTCCTGAGTTCGTAGGAATTCTACAAACCTCACGAAGAGGATTTCGAAGGCAGGAGTGGTCTGCTTCCTCATTCCATGTATTTTTTCTTCCTGGAAAGACAGATAAAGGGATGGATGTTGACCAGACAAAATAAGATGGAGTCAACCCCCCACCACTCCTCTCCTGCTTTAAATTCAGAAATATTTCTAACATATTTTACCAACTAGAGATGTCTGATTTTCAAGTGTAAAACACTCTCTAGATGTGTTAAGCTGCCTCAGCTCTTCTTTAGAGTGCAGTGACTTTAATTAGATTAGCATTTAGCTGTTACCAAGAACTCTGGAAATGGGAATTTTATTTGGGGCAGAAAGAAGGATGATAGAATTCTGAGCAGGGTCAGGAAAAGATTGTTAAATTGGCTGCCTCAGTGGCTGTACTTAAGATCATCATGGCCAGTTGGGGAAGTTGTAAATGTCAGTCTTCCCATCTCTTAAGGTCCCCTCAGTATGGGCTGATCAAGTCGGGGTTCTTGGATCAGTCCACTGTCTTCCCAACCAATCTCCCTAGGAGAAAGAAAAGAGAAGATGGTATTCAGATGAAGTGGTGAAGACATATATATAAACCTCCATCTTCTCCATAACACATGGGAGATGTTTCTGTGTAAGTGTGTAAGTTAGTACATGATGAAGGATGAACAGACAGATGTGAGACACTGTTGGAGTTCACAAAAGAGAGAGAGGCCAGGGCTGGTTGAGTTCTGTCTGGCTGTGGCCCCTGGAGTCCTTCCAAGCCAGCTTTATGTGCTCTCCTCCCATCTGCCTTGACCCCTCCCAGGCTGTGGAGAACTTTATCTACTCCTGCGCTGGCTGCTGCGTGGCCACGTACGTCTTGGGCATCTGTGACCGACATAACGACAACATCATGCTGAAGACTACTGGTCACATGTTCCACATTGATTTTGGCCGCTTCCTGGGCCATGCCCAGATGTTTGGCAACATCAAGCGGTAAGTGATCTCCTGAAGCCAGGGTGTGAGTGGAGGGCAAGGAGGTGAGCAACAGTGGTTCAGAGCTGGGACACAAGCCCATGACGGAAGCAGCTGGGCCTCAGTTCATGGTCCCAGGGCTGAGCAGCATTGGAGGAGAGAAGACTGATAAAGAGGTCAAGTCCTTGCAGGGCCTTGCAGAAGAATGTGGGGACCAGCTGTTCTTCCCTACCAAGGACTGAACAAAGGGAAATGAACCCAAACTGTAGCAAAAAGGAACGCAATCAGATCTCCAGAAAAAAACATTGCCAGCTCACAGATAAGGAACCAATGAAGGATATAGAGATCTTTTAAGATTAAGGTAGGAAAGGAACAAAGAAAAAGTTAGAGCCCCATCTATCCAGTGTGTCCATGTGATCAGGGATGAGGGAAACTGACCCCTGATGCAGCCCATATGGTGGGCTTCCTCCTCCATGTTGACCTTCTACCTGTATGTTCCCCTTGGCTCAGGGACCGTGCCCCCTTTGTCTTCACCTCGGACATGGCGTATGTCATCAACGGGGGTGACAAGCCTTCCAGCCGCTTCCATGATTTTGTTGACCTTTGCTGCCAAGCCTACAACCTCATTCGCAAGCACACCCACCTCTTCCTCAACCTTCTGGGCCTGGTGAGGAGCTCCATCCCTTTCCGAACACCTTCTTATTACCTGGCACCATCTTTCAGACTTCCCTGTCTTGCTGCAGAGGATTTCTAGAGATTTACCTCTCTGAGCCCCAACTGAATACCTGCCTGCTCTAGATAAAGGCAGGGACCCAGACTACCTGAGGACGATGATGTCTGTGTAGGTGTCTGACTCCCTGCTCCAGCCCCTCAGTTCCTGTGGCCCTCCAGCCACTGCCCACAGCATCTGTCTACCACCCTCCAGAAGGGTTAGGGAGCCTAGCTGTAGAAAACCTTGCCTAAGGGTGGTGAAGCAGCAAGAACTCTCTGTTGTTACAGGCACCCTCTCTTCTTCTTTCTGCTCCTTCTAGATGTTGTCCTGTGGGATCCCTGAGCTCTCAGACCTGGAGGACCTCAAGTATGTGTACGATGCCCTGAGGCCTCAGGACACAGAGGCCAATGCCACTACCTACTTCACTAGGTAACATGATTCCCTAAGCGAATCAGCACTGCCCACCCTGAGTAATTCCCAGCCCACTGGATTGGCAGGAGGAGGACTGGGGAAAGGTAAAAGGCTTAGCTCAGATGCTAGAGCCTAGAACTGACCACGTGGATATATTGTCCCAACTTTGCCCGTGATTTAGGTAAATCATTTTGCTTCTCTCAGCCTTGGTTTCCCATCTGTGTTTTGATGCTACCCTTTGCACACAAGAGTATTTGCCATCACTCTTATCTACATTCTCACCAGGTCCCAGTCAAATATTTTGTCTGTGGGGCAATGTATAATGTGGCTTTTGTAATAATTTTTAACTTTCTGGGTCAGACCCTTCCCCCTTGCCAAAATGTAGAGTTCCATGATTCAGTTTCCTTATATTTGACAATGTTTTTAGGCACGCTGTGTGTGAAAGCAAGGATGCGTTTATCTATGAATGCCTACAAAATGTTGTCCACGCAGATAATGTTCTCCACTCTTTTTGGAACTCAGAGAATTAAACTTTCTCTGTTAGGTCTCCTAACACAGGACCTCTCCCTCTGAATTGAAATCTCTAGATTCAACAGTGCTTGGTGAGGTTCTATTGTACTGAACCTTGAAATTTTTTGACCATGATATTTAGACATTTACACAGGGTTCCTAGTTCCTTTCTACCTTGGTTTGATGGTCTTTGGCTCAGGTGGGCAGCCAGGGGAGGAGATAAGACCCTAGGGTTCACATGAGCAAATTGCATGAGATAATTGTGTGCCAATCATTTGCTTTATGGGGATATGACACAGAAAAATGGTTTGTCTGAGCTGAGCTGATTGTTAGTCTCAGTAGTCAGGAATATTCCTTGGAACACCCCTGTCAAGGCAGCAGGAATTTGGGTTCATAGTTATATCCTCTTTTCTCATCCTCCTGCCAGGTTGATTGAGTCCAGCCTGGGCAGTGTAGCCACAAAGCTCAATTTTTTCATCCATAATCTGGCTCAGATGAAGTTCACGGGCTCAGATGACCGGCTGACCCTCTCCTTTGCCTCCCGAACACACACTCTCAAGAGCTCTGGCCGAATCAGTGATGTTTTCCTCTGCCGCCATGAGAAAATCTTCCACCCCAACAAAGGCTATGTAAGTGTTTTCTCCAATCTGACCCCCTTTCTTGCTCTCTGCTGACCCTAGTTTATTGGGGTCCTGACTTTTTTCACATTTGCACAGTGGGCACAGGAGTTGACCAAGAGTCCTGTGCTGGGAGCAGTCCTGGACCACTTCCCTCTCCTTTGCTCACGTGACCTGCCTAGAATTGGGGAACTGAATTGAATGGTTATTCCCTCTGAGTCAAGGATCCTGGCGACATATGTGGGAAGTCTGCTTTTAGATTCCTGTGTATGTGCTATCATCTGTCTCCACTGGAGAGACTCTTGCCCTCTTCCTTCTGGAACGTGCCCCTCCCCTCAGCACATACATACACTTCCAGACCTTTCCTACCCCCTTCACTGGGTGCAGAGTGCTCGGCAGGTACACCCTAAGATCTGGACCTTTGCAGATATATGTGGTAAAGGTGATGCGAGAGAACACTCACGAGGCCACCTATATCCAGCGGACCTTTGAGGAGTTCCAGGAATTACACAATAAGCTGCGGCTGCTCTTCCCTTCTTCCCACTTGCCCAGGTAGCTGCCCCCTTTACCATCTGCACAGAGGGATGCGGGGGAGGGGGAAAGGATACGGGATGGGAGTTGGGCAGGACTGCAGGGGCAGAAAATACCCTTTTGGACTAAAGATCTGCCTGCTTTGCTTGGCCTGGTATGGAGTTTGATGACAAGTGCTCCCCCTGCTGGCCAAGCTCTCCTTGCACGCAAGAGCTCTCACTCCGGGCCCCCTGACCAGAAGGGAAGGCATGGTGAATTTGATGTTTCAAAATTTCTAATTTTTTAAAGAGTTACACCATTTTTCAAATGGATAAGCAAAATGTCATATGTACATACAGTGGGATATTATTCAGCATTTAAAATGGAGGGAAATTTCGACATGGGTAACAACGTGGATGGACCTTGAGGACATTCTGCTAAGTGAAATAAGCCAGTCACAAAAAGACGAAAACGGCGTGATTCCACTTATCGGAGTTACCTGGAGTAGTCAGATTCCTAGAGACAGAAAGTAGAAAGCTAGTTGCCCAGGTCTGAGGGGAGGGAGGTGTGGTTGTTTAATGGATACAGAGCTTCAGTTTTGCAAGATGAAAAGAGCTATGAAATTGGATAGTGGCGATGGTTGCACAACAATGTGAATATGGTTAATTCCACAGAACTGTACACTTAAAAATGGTTAAGATGGCAAATTTTATGTTATATGTATTTTACTGCAATTTTTTAAAAAACTACTTTTCAGGCTGGGTGCAGTGGCTCATGCCTGGCTCATGCCAGCACTTTGGGAGGCCGAGGTGGGCAGATTGCCTGAGGTCAGGAGTTCGAAAGCAGCCTGGCCAACATGGTGAAACCCCATCTCTACTAAAAATAAAAAAATTAGCGTGGTGGCATGCTTTTATAATCCCAGCTACTCAGGAGGCTGAGGCAGGAGAATTGCTTAAACCCAGGAGGCACAGGTTGCAGTGAGCTGAGATTACGTGACTGCACTCCAGCCTGGGCGACAAAGCGAGACTCAGTCTCAAGACATACATACAACTTTTTAAATGAATTTTTTGGCTGGGTGCGGTGGCTCACACCCATAATCCCAGCACTTTGGCAGGCAGAGGCGGGCAGATCATGAGCTAAGGAGTTTGAGACCAGCCTGGCCAACATGGTGAAACCCCCCTCTACTAAAAATACAAAAATTAGCTGGGCGCAATCGTGCGTGCCTGTAATCCCAGCTACTGGGGAGGCTGAGGCAGGAGAATCGCTTGAACCCGGGTGGTGGAGGTTGCAGTCAGCCAAGATTGCACCACTGTACTCCAGCCTGGGCAACAGAGCAAGACTCCATCTCAAAAAAAAAAAAAAAAGGATTTTTACTTTGATGGGAGAAACTGAGGGCTCCCAAGGCATTTCTGGGGAGCCACAGGACTCTGGCCAGCTGCTTGGTTTTCTTGTCTGGGGCCCTTGGAAATGTAGGTATAAGATGCTGAGCAGGTGTCAGACCTGGGCACAGATGTGCAGCACAGGAGGAATTGTGAGGGTCCCTAGAAATGAAGGCTGCTGGGAAATGGGTGCCAGGGGACTGGAAATGCAAATGAAATGTGTGAAAAAAGCCCATTGTGTCCATTTTCTTTCCTCATCTTCACCTCCTGCATCCCTGCTGCCTACGCTGCCACACCAGCTTCCCTAGTCGCTTCGTGATCGGCCGCTCCCGGGGAGAGGCGGTGGCCGAGCGGCGGAGGGAGGAGCTAAACGGTTACATCTGGCACTTGATCCACGCAGCCCCTGAGGTGGCCGAGGTGGGTGGGCTTGCCTCTCCTCCTGGCTGTCCAGGCTGGTGGGGGTGGTTGGGGAGGCAGGGGTGGAAGCATCCAGAGCCACTAGGAGTCAGGAACAGGACTCGGGACTTTGGGGTCTGTGGGCTGAATGACCAGTGCTCTAGTCTGCAGAAGACAGGAGGCGGGTGGGTCCAGCCTCACAGGGTTATGCACAGAAATGCAATTAAACAGAAATGTGAATGCATCCAGGCACATGGTCTGAAAGTGATGAGAATGAGCAGAGCCTCAGAAAGGAAGGCTCCTCCTTGAGGAAAAAATTTTTTGAGCAGGTTGAGTATGTATTATCAACCTAGATTTTGTTTTAAAATAAGTAGTATTATAATGGCCCTAACAAAGTCATGAGGAATCCTATTATTAAATACTTTAACAAATCATCTGACCCTATTGTCCATGTTTCCTTCCTATTTGTCCATATGCAAGCATGATATTTACAGTTTTATAGTGGTCATAGCTTAAGTATAACTCTAGATTCTGAGCTTTTTTTTCCTTAGCGTTTATAGTATGCATATGCTATAACTTTCAATATCTGCTCCCCCAAACACCAACTTGCAGTACCATATTCTTAACCATTTTATTTTTGGAAGATATTTAGAGTATGTCTTTTTTTCCCCCCAGTATTAATGTTCAAGTGAGTATTTTCACACAGTTTGTTTGTTTGTTTTTTGAGACAGGATCTTGCCCTGTCATTCAGTCTGGAGTGCAGTGGCACAATCACAGCTCACTGCAGCCTTGACCTCCCAGGCTCAAGTGATCCTCCCACCTTAGCCTCCTGAGTAGCTGGGACTATAGGCATGGGCCACCACACCCCGCTAGTTTTTGTATTTTTTTGTAAAGATAGGGTTTCACTGTGTTACCAGGCTGGTTGCAGACTCTGAGCTCAAGCAATCTTCTGGCCTCAGCCTCCCAAAATGCTGGAATTACAGGCATGAACCACTGCACTCAGCCTGTTTTTTCTTTTTAAACTTTTTAGTATTAAAACTTTAAAACATGCAGAAAAGTAGAGAAACAATATAATTAGCACCTCTATATCTATCACCTAAACAGTTAACATTTTGCTATATTTGCTTCATCTATTTTTTAGGAAATATTTTAAAACAAATTACAGGCTGGGTGCAGTGGCTCATGCCTGTAATCTTAGCACTTTGGGAGGCTGAGGCAGGTGGATCACCTGCAGTTAGGAATTTGAGACCAGCCGACATGTCTCTACTAAAAATACAAACATTAGCTGGGCGTGGTGGCGCACGCCTGTAATCTCATCTACTTGGGAGGCTGAGGTTGCAGTGAGCTAAGATTGCGCCACTGCACTGCAGCCTGGGCGTCAGAGCAAGACTCCATCTCAAACAAACAAACAAACAAAAAAGTAAATTACAGACATCGTAATACTGTACCCCCGAAATAGTATGCATCTCTAAACAATAAAGCCTCATTTTTAACATAACTACAGTATTATTATATTATCCAGTACATAGTCCATATTCAGAATTTCCCTATCATCCCCCAAATTCCTTTTACTGTTGGCTTGTTAGAGCTATAATCCACATAAGAACTGCATGTTGTTGGTTGTTATATTTCCTAAGTCTTTTTACATCTGGAACAGTCCCCTTCCTTTTTGTATTGGGCCATTGTCTTATTGAAGAATGGCCCTGTTTCTGATTCTGTTCCAGTGTGATTTGGTGTACACCTTCTTCCACCCACTGCCTCGGGATGAGAAGGCTATGGGCACCAGCTCAGCTCCTAAGTCCTCAGGTACAGTATCTTCTCTGAGACCTTCCTGCCAACTCCTCTGAACTACCCCAAGGGTAACTGTTTCTGCCCCAACCTCTTCTCAGTTCGCTCTCCTTGACTTGCCTCCTGTTCCTTTTCTTACTCTCCAGGGAATCCAGTTTCCCACTCAGGCTGGGGGATCCATAGCTCCTTACCTGGGTTCCCCACAGGGTGGATATTCAGTTGATTGTATCCTCAGACCCATCCCAACCCAGTTAACTCTAATCACATTCAGACTACACTTATGTAGATGCCTCATGAGTATCAGGAACCTGACGTGGAGAGGCTGGGGCAAGGGGGCTCAGAAAGAAAACAGAAACCCCTGCCTGGCCTCTTGACCCTTCTTGGTTTCGTTTGTCCCTACAGATGGCACGTGGGCCCGGCCCGTCGGAAAAGTGGGAGGGGAGGTGAAGCTGTCCATCTCCTACAAAAACAATAAACTCTTCATTATGGTGATGCATATTCGGGGCTTGGTAAGTGCCTGCACAGCCCTGATTTTTTTTTTTTTTTTCTTTTTTAATCTTTCTTGAGCTACTTTTTTGTCTGGGCAGACCTTCTCTGCCCCATGTCATACGGGTAACCACCACAGTCTATTGAGCATCCACCATGGACCTATAACCATAGCAAGCCTATGGTTTGACCAGGCAATATATGATACAGCTTTTTGTAGCTGTGGTCTTTGACAAGTAACCTAATCATTCTGAGCCTCATTAGAATGAGGAAAATGTTAGCACCTACCTCATAGAGTCATTATGGGGATTAAATGAGATAATGCTTGTGGAATACTTAACACCATGCCTGGTTTTATTAGAATAATGATTATTATCGTAATTATCATAAGGGAGAGGCCCAAGGGGCTCACTACCTGGCTATAATGATTCAGCAGCCACGTGACATCCTTTGAACATGATCAAGGCAGTATATAATGACTAAATTTTTGGTATGAGTTCTAAGAACATTGTGACTAGAAGAGGAAGGGAACTTTTTTTTTTTTTTGAGATGGAGTTTTGCTCTGTCACCCAGGCTGGAGTGCAGTGGCGCGATCTTGGCTTACTGCAACCTCCTGGGTTTGAGCGATTTTCCTGCCTCAGCCTGAGTAACTGGGACTACAGGGACATGCCACTACACCTGGCTAATTTTTGTATTTTTTTAAATTAGAGATCGGGTTTCATCATGTTAGCTAGACTGGTCTCAAATGCCTGACTTCAGGTGATCCACCCACCTCAGCTTCCCAAAGTGCAGGGATTACAGGTGTGAGCCACCATACCCAGCCAGGAAGGGAACTTGAATACTTGCATTGTGCTGTATCCTATGTTAGGCATTTTGTGTAGGTTGGGGCAGTGGGATATGGCAGGAGGAGCATGAACATTCATCCATGTATTCTTCATTCATTCAATAAATGTTTGAGTGCCTGCTGTATACTGATACATTAGCTCTGGGTGTGGGGAAAAACAAAACAAAATCCTTGCCCTCAGGGGGCTTCCATTCTAGTTGGAAAGGGCAGACAGGCAGATAAGTAAAATATATGGCATAGAAAATGGTAGTAAGAGCCATGGCAAGAAATAAAGCAGAGAAGGAATGCTAGGATGGAATGAAGGGAGTGGAATTTGCAGTGGTCAGGGAAGGCCTCATTGCTGAGGAGGTGTCTTAGCAAGCTGGAGAAGGTGAGGGAGGGAGCCATGTTTATGCATCTGAGGGCAGACTTTCCCAGGCAAAGGGAGCAGTTAGATCCGACAGCCCAAAGCTGGGAGCCTGCCAGGGGTGCGTCAGAAACAGCAAGGGGCCCGTCAGAAACAGCAAGGGGTTAGCCGGGCGAAGTGGCGGGCGCCTGTAGTCCCAGCTGCTCGGGAGGCTGAGGCAGGAGAATGGCTAAACCCGGGAGGCGGAGCTTGCAGTGAGCTGAGATCCGGCCACTGTACTCCAGCCTGGGCGACAGAGCGAGACTCCGTCTCAAAAAAAAAAAAAAAAAAAAAAAAGAAACAGCAAGGGGCCAGTGGCTGAAGCCGATGGAGCAAAGTCGAGAGGAGTGGATGATGAGGTTGGAGAGGGTATGATGGACCAGCACCTTACCCCGATAGTAAGAACCCTGGCCTTTTCCCTGAATGAGATGGGTTTTGAGCAGAGGCGTGACATGATCTGACTTAGGTTTTAAAAGGATCAGGCTGGGTGTATCACTAGTTGGCTGCCCTTGAGCAAGCAACTCAATCTCTCTGACTCATATCTCTACCTCTTAGGGGTTAAGTGGACCAAATGACAAAATAGACAAGGATAGTAGATATGGCAGGAAGATACCTGGGAACATGATGTTTCACTCAAAACAGAGCACATTATGGGATGTCCCGAGGATTTGGATAAAAAGTATAGACTTGATATCATAGACAAATCAATTGATGTTTTAATAGGACACAATGTTATCACGGTAGATATTTTTATCAGAATGGAGTGAGCTTGAAAGCAGACAAATAAACTAGTTGTGCATTGCAAGACGCCAGATGGCAGATGAGAGTCTGGATCAGAGTGTGATCACAGGAATGGTGATGAAGAGACAGATGTTAAAAATCTTAACATTTTTTGGTTCTCATTCTGTTGTAGCAACTGCTCCAGGATGGAAATGACCCTGACCCCTATGTGAAAATTTACCTCCTTCCTGACCCTCAGAAAACCACTAAGAGGAAAACCAAAGTGGCCCGGAAAACCTGCAATCCTACCTACAATGAGATGGTAGGTGGGGAAAATGGTGGGGTAGGGCAGGGGTTGGCAACCTGCGCCTGTTCTCCTAGCTAAAGTCATATTGAACACCGTATTAAGACGTCGTATGAAGGACACAGCTGTACTTTCTGATTTAGGTTTTGCCTGTGGCTGCTTTCATGTTGCAATGGCAGGATTGAGTAGTTGTAACATAGACCATGTGGCTTATCAAGCCTAAAAATATTTACTGTCTGTCCCCTTACATAAAAAGTTTGCCAGCCCTTTTGGGCTGGGATTTCATGGCTGGGGTCTGGCCCTATCCTGTGGGAAGGAGAAGCCTGCTGGTCCTGTGCTGAAAATGAGCAGTGGCCCCAATACAAAGCCCTCACTGGCTTGAACTCTGAGCAAAGAACAGAGTTCATTAATGCTTCCCTTGGAGTCTGTGTACCTTGTGTACCTTCTGTATGACCTGGGAGTCTGCAGGGTCAGTGCTAGCCTCAGCTGGATCAACCCCCAACAGACTTTACCATCTCTCTCTCAGGTTCCCTCTGGATTCTTCTTGTTCCTTCTCTCACCACTTCCCTCCCCCATCTCTGTTTGCAGTTGGTATATGATGGGATCCCCAAGGGAGACCTGCAGCAGCGGGAGCTCCAGCTGAGTGTGCTGAGTGAGCAGGGATTCTGGGAGAACGTCCTCCTCGGTGAGGTGAACATCCGCCTGCGAGAGCTGGACCTGGCTCAGGAGAAGACCGGCTGGTTTGCATTGGGATCTCGAAGCCATGGCACCTTGTGAGCCCAGCAGAGCCAGTACCCAGGATCCCAGGCTGGTGGTGGGAGCTGGAGGAGAGGACTCTCCCCTGCGAGACTCTTCCTTGTGAAGGGCCAGGGCCCTGGGCGGGCCCCCTGCTCGGTCCAGGTGATTCTGGCCTCTGTAGTAGGAGGCAGGGAGAGTAAGACATGCTCTGCTGTCTCTTCCTCTGGAGACTGAACTGGGTTGGTTGTGATGAGCAGCCCTTTGGAGGCTGTGAGGTTGCAGCAAAGTTTTAAGTTTACCTTGTGTCAAGGGAGCAATGCTTGGTTTGGGGAGTGTATGGGGTGGGCTGTATGAAGTAGCATTTTGGGGGTGGGTGGGCAGATATCTTTATTTTTATTTTTAAAAAATGAAATAGTGATGTTGTCCTAACTGGGACAGGAAGCCTTGCGAGAAGGGACATACCTATGCCCCAGAAGGCAAGAGAGGAAGACTATTTGGACTTTTTGTATGATTAAGGTTCTTATTGGACTTTCCCCTAGGTTTTTTTTTTTTTGTTGTTGTTGTTTTGTTTTCTAGCTATAGGAACTATTAGGGGAGGGGCCCAGTGGGTCCTCGGCCAGAGCCCTCTCTAAGGACAGGTTGGGGCAGGCTGGGGAGGGCTGCCTGTGCTGGACTGAGGCTTGCGCCACTGGGCCTTTCTGATTTTGCCTCCAAAGGAGAGCGCTGTGATACCTACATGTGTAAGGAAGGGCCTTCCGTATTGGGGTTCTGCCAAGGACCCGTATTCAGGGACCCATGCTCTTTTTGGGGGACTTTTCCTTTTGTCTTCCCTACTTTATTAGGACTTGCCCTGAATACCATTTTCTACTCCTTGCCCCTTCATTCTCCCGGCCCTTCTGGGGGTCAGCTGGTCTCTATGAATAGGCTGGGGGTGCTTCCCCATAGGTCTCTCCCTTCATTTCTCTCTGGTGGGACAAAATGCTGACTTAGTCCTTAGATGTAGTTTCACCCAAGAGCATCTTGGCCCTAGGAAGAGGTCCCTGGGCTGCAGATGCCACTGTGACTGCTTGCTAGGTAGCCTCTGGAAAGCATTCACCATCCATCACTCCCCACTTCTTTCTGCTGTGCTGCTTCCTTCCCAAACTCCATTTCTGTCACCCTTTTTATGAGACTTTTCCTCATTCTGTGGGGCCATAAACCTATTTAGTCTGGAGCCAAAGGGATGCCCTATCTGAAGGAAAGGAGCATGGGGTGGGGGATTCCATCAAAACTGTTATTTTTTGCCCCATGATTTTTCTTTGGTCAGTAGGAGGCTGGACTGGAGTGGTGATTATTCCCCTGGAGCTAAGCTCAGGAGCCCAAAGGGAGAGACTGAGACTGAGTCTCTTATCTCTTCATATTCTTTATTCCCTACCAGATGGTGTTTTTTTTTTTTTTTAATTTTTTTTGGAGACAGAGTCTCGCTCTGTCACCAGGCTGGAGTGCAGTGGCATGATCTCGGCTCACTGCAACCTCTGCCTCCCAGGTTCAAGCGATTCTCCTACCCCAGCCTCCTAAGTACCTTGGAATACAGGCATGCACCACCACGCCCAGCTAATTTTTTGTATTTTTAGTAGAGATGGGGTTTCACCATGTTGGCCAGGCTGGTCTCGATCTCTTGACCTCGTGATCTGCCTGCCTCGGCCTCCCAAAGTGCTGGGATTACAGGTGTGAGCCACCGCGCCCGGCCCCAGATGGATTTTACATTTGCTCTTTTGTGTTTCACTCCAAAGGGTTGTCTTCCTTGCCAAAAAGAGGGAGGGACTTGGAATTTGATATTAACTTTTAAAACCAGAAGCGGCTGGATATTTCCCATGATTGGGAAAAGAGTGAAATGAGGACATTCTGTAAACTGTCCCTCCCTAATTCCAAGGATCAGAAACTCCCCGTTTTGCTGACTCATTCCATAACTGGAGAAAGAAGCTCCATTGACCGAAGCCACAGGGCAGCACGGAAGTTTAAATTTTCTCTAAAATTAAAATGTCAAGGATAAAGCTGGCTGCTTCCGGTGGGGGGAAGGGGAGTGGGGAGTGGGTGGTGAAACTTTTCCAGATGAACGGACCATAAATGTGTTACTGGCTCTGTGCCTGTAGCTCATTTTATTATGACCCTGTATGCTCCTGATTTAAAGAGATCTGTGTACTGTTTACTTCCCACTTCCCAGAGTCCCTTGTATCTCCTTTCTTGGGAATTGTATTTTCTAATAAATGACATTTGAGAAAAAAATGAAATGATAATTTTATTTATTTTTTTGACACAGGGTCTCTCTCAGTCGCCCAGGCTTGGAGTGCAGTGGTGAGATCTAGGCTCACTGCAACCTCCACCTCCTGGACTCCATCCATCCTCCCACCTCAGCCTTCCCAGTAGCTGGGACCACAGGTGCACATCACCATGCCTGGCTAATTTTTTTTATTCTTTGTAGAGACAGGGTTTTGCCATGTTTCCCAGGCTGGTCTTGAACTCCTGGGCTCAAGTGATCCACCTGCCTCAGCCTCCCATAATTTTTTTTTTTTTTTTTTTGAGACTGAATCTTGCTCTGTCGCCCAGGCCGGAGTGCAGTGGTGCAATCTTGGCTCACTGCAAGCTCCGCCTCCCGAGTTCAAGTGATTCTCCTGCCTCAGCCTCCCGAGTAGCTGGGACTACAGGTGCCCACCACCACACCCGGCTAATTTTTTGTATTTTTAGTAGAGATGGGGTTTCACCCTGTTAGCCAGGATGGTCTCAATCTCCTGACCTCGTGATCCGCCCGTCTTGGCCTCCCAAAGTGCTGGGATTACAGGCGTGAGCCACTGCACCCAGCCAGCCTCCCATAATTTTTAAAAGTAATTTTTAGAAGAGACAAGGTTTTGCTACGTTGTGCAGGCTGGTCTTGAACTCCTGAGTCCAAGCAATCCTCTCACCTTGTCCTCCCAAAGTGTTGGGATTACAGGTGTGAGCCACTGCACCCAGCTGAAACTATCATTTTAAAGACTGGTTGATGTTTGGCCGGGCACAGTGTCTCATGCCTGTAATCCCAACACTTTGGGAGGCCGAGGTGGGTGGATCACCTGAGGTCAGGAGTTCAAGACCAGCTTGACCAACATAGTGAAACCCTGTCTCTACTAAAAATACAAAAATTAGCCAGGCATGGTGGCACATGCCTGTAATCTCAGCTACTCAGGAGGCTGAGGCAGGAGAATCACTTGAACCTGGGAGCTGGAGGTTGCAGTGAGCTGAGATTGTGCCATTGCACTCCAGCCTGGGCAGCAAGAGTGAAACTCCACCTCAAAAAAAAAAAAATTGGTTGATGTTCAGATGTTTACATTGAAACATCTGCTGGATGAGATGAAAATAATAGTAGTGGTTTTTTATACCACCAAATGGTAACTTTTATATGTACCAGTGCACTGCACTGACCATTTTCACATGTCAGCTAAATCTATCCTCACAACAACTTGATCAGGTGCGTACCATTACCCATTTTACAGATGAAGAAACTGAAGCTCAGAGGGATGAAGTAACTTGCCTGAGGGCACACAGCCAGTAAGTCATGGAGTTTGAACCCAGGTCTGTTGCACTCCAAACCTTGTGCAACACCTCCTAGGCAGTGTTTAATACAATCCCTTAAATAGGTCTAATTGATATTTCAGGTGCTTTTTATACATGATATCATTTTCCATTACGACTGCCCTGGACAGTAAGTATGGCTCATTCATGAATTCTGTCAACAAACATTCACAGTTCTTACCAGTGCTACCTAGTGGCATGCCTCCATTCATAAAAAAAATACATTTGTGTTGAATGCATCCTGGCCCTGTACTAGGTACCAGACTAGGGCTTACCAAGGTAAATTAAGACAGTTCTCTGCATTTAAGAGGTTTCCTACCAGGGCTGGATGCGGTAGCTCATGCCTGTAATCCCAGCACTTTGGGAGGCCGAGGTGGGCAGATCACGAGGTCAGGAGATTGAGACCGTCCTGGCTAACACAGTGAAACCCCATCTCTACTAAAAATACAAAAAATTAGCCGGGTGTGGTGGCAGGCGCCTATAATCCCAGCTACTTGGAAGGCTGAGGCAGGAGAATCGCTTGAACCCAGGAGGCAGAGGTTGCAGTGAGCCGAGATCGCGCCATTGCACTCCAGCCTGGGCAAAAAGAGTGAAACTCTGTCTGAAAAAAAAAGAAGTTTACTATCTAGTAATATTTAACCAACTCCATTTTATAGGAGAAAAAACTGAAACTTGAGATGCCTCGCAACTATCAAGCCACTACAGCATAACCATAGCCCAGAAGTGAACCCCCCAAGTGCAGGATGGAAGTGAAGTGACCCTTGTTCAAGCATTGTACCCAGAAGTCTCCAAAACTCTCCAGTGGGGGGTCATGTTTCATACTGGGGAATTGTGTGGGGGCTTCCAGGGGATTTTCCAGTAGTAAACAGTAGGAAGTGTTACCTGCTTTATTTCTAAATGATCTTGAGGTATCACTGCAGTTCTGGGCAAGTCCCTTTGGACTTTTTAAAGGTTAGTACTTGAGTCTGCCAAGAGTCTTAGTGAAGGAAATTTCTTGGCCAAATGGGGTAGAAATCTGAACCCTCCTGAGGGAGTGGGAATGAGAGAGGTGGGGAATGAGAGAGAGGGGTTGCCCAAGGAGAAAAGAAACAAAAGCCGTCCAGGGGGCCCAGATTTCTGAGTTCAAAGAGAGGTGGCAAAAATGAAGCAGCCCAGCTTGCTGAGATTTGAGGAGCAAAGATTAGACTGGATTTGAAAGGTGAAAAAATGAGGCAGCATTTTAAATTGGGAGAGAATTTTCTGGTGGCTGGGACTTGTCTAAAAGTGTCTGATCAATTCAACTAACAACACTAATGGCTTACACTGGGTAAGGCGGGGTGTCAGGTACTGTGGCTACTCAGACAACAAAGGTGTGGATCCTGTCTTCAAGGAACTCAGTCTTTCAAGGGAAGCATGCATGGAAATAAATACAGTGCAGTGTGATATGGATAAGGTGGTATGCGAAGGGGCGGGGCGGGCAGAGTGGGCTTCAGAGAAGATATCTGCGTGTTAAAATCAATCAGAGCTTCAGGCTTTATTCTTAGGGTGATGGGGTTTTGAGAAAGGGAACTGCAGGGGCCAGGCACGGTGGCTCATGGCTATAATCACAGCACTTTGGGAGGCCAAGGCAGGCGGATCATCTGAGGTCAGGAGTTCGAGACCAGCCTGGCCAACCTGGTGAAACCCCATCTCTACTAAAAATACAAAAATTAGCCAGGTGTGGTGGTGAACGCCTGTAATCCCAGCTACTCAGGAAGCTGAGGCAGGCGAATCGCTTGAACCCAGGAAGTGGAGGTTGCAGTAAGCTGAGATAGCACCACTGCATTCTAGCCTGGGCAACAGAGAGAGACTCCATCTCAAAAAACAAACAAAAAAAACGGTAATGTCTAATTTATGTTAAGAGATCATTCTTCTGGCTGCTGTTTGAAGCAAAAATAGAAGCAGAAGAGGAGGCTATTGTAGTCCAGGAGGGAAATGATGGTAGCTTGGGGATGATGGAAAGTGGTCAAATTCTGGATATATTTTGAAGGTAGAGCTGACAGGACTTGCTGATGGACTGCGTATAGAATTGAGGGAAAGCGGAGTTGAGGATGATTCCTCAGTGTGGAACCTCAGAATGTAGGCAGAGTCCTCTGGAGGAATTACTGGGAGTGGGGAGGTAGGTTCAGTAGAGCTGAATCAAGACTTCTGATTGTGTTAAGTTTGAGATATGTGATAGAAATCTAAGTGGAGAAGTAACAGAATGGAATCTGAAGCCCAAGGGAAGTCAGTCTGGAAGTTTAGATATGGAAGTCATCAGCACTGAGGTGGTGTTTAATTCCATGGAATGAGATGAGATCACCCAGGTTAGAGAGGCATTTGGGTGGATTGAGGCCAACATTCAGAGGAGGAGGAGCAGGTCATGGTGTCCTGGCAACCTAAAGAAGTATGATCAGTTTCCTGGGGCTCCGGTAACAAAGTATCACAAACTGAGAGGCTTAAACAGCAATGTATTTCTGGAGGTTGGAAGTCCAAAATCAAGGTGTCAGCAAGGTTGATTCCTTGTGAGGGCTGTGAGAGAGTCTGTTCCATGTTTCTCTCCTGGCTTTTGGAGGTTTGCTGGCAATCTGGAATTCCTTGGCTTATATATGCATCAACCCAATGTCTGCCTTCATATTGCTGTGGCATTCTCTCCGTGTGCATGCACGTGTCTGTGTCCAAATCTCCTCTTTTTATAAGGACGCTGTCATCTTGGATTAGAGCCCACCATAATGACCTCATCTTAACTTGATCATCTGCAAAGAACCTATTTCCAAATAAGATCACATTCACAGGTACTAAGGGGGTTAGGATTTTATCATTTGGGGGACACACTTCAACCCCTAACAGTCAAGAGGAGTGAATATAGCAAAATGTTCTTAGTGACGTTGATAAGAGCTGCCTGAATGAGTGGTGGGGGTGAAAGTCACATTGGTGTAGGCTGGGGAGAGTATAGGTGAAGAGAAAGTGGAGACCATAAGCACCAACAACTCTCGAGAGGTTTCACTCTGGTGGTGCAGAAGCTTGGAGGGGTGTATATCTAGGAAGGGTTTTTAAATTTTATTTATTATTATTTTTTTATTTACTTTTTTTGAGACAGAGTCTCGCTTTGTCACCCAGGCTGCAGGGTGGTGGTGAGCAGTCCTCCCGCCTCAACCTCCCGAGTAGCTGGGACTACAGGCATGAGCCACCAAGCCCAGTGAATTTTTTAAATTGTAGAGACAAGGTCTTGCTATGTTGTCCAGTCTGGTCTTGAACTCTTTGGCTCAAGCCCCCCGCCTTGGCCCCGCAAAGTGTAGGGATTACAGGCATAAGCCACCATGCTGGGTGGTCTTTTTATTTTTAATATAGGTGATATTAAGTTATGTTAATGTGAATGATCTAGTAGTGAGAGAAACATGTATGTTACTAGGGAGAAGTGATAAGAGAGGTCAGAATTATTCCTTGAGTAAAAATGGAGGGATGCATCCAGGAGGCTTCTTGGATTGTAGAGGGATTGAAGGCAGATTATGTGGGTCCAAATGCCAGTGGATTTGGTCAGGGAAAGATGAGGTGATTTATGTCCAGTTGTATCTGTTTTTTTCTTGAAGTATGAGTGTGATCATAAACTGAGAATGTGTGTTTATGGCAAATGCTGGAAATTTGAAGAAAGAAGTATTGTGAGACAGTCTCAGAGTGTAGGAGAAGC